GTTAGTACTTAGCCTACTATAGGAAGACTCTTTTTAGAGCTTCCAGATACTGATTTACCTAATCTACAGGGGCTATAGTAATCTTAGCTAGTAATAGCCTAGCTAGAAGGTTATTAAATATACTATTAAAGGCTTCTAATAAGCCTTTAAAGTCCCTATAATAAAGTCTGTAAAATTAGATATATAGATAGCTATACTGAATTTTAGTATTATAAGAGAACTATTTAATTAGTAACTTATAGGTTTTTATAGAGGAGGTTTATTAAGTTATAGTAACTTATAGACTCTCTATATAGCTATCTTTTAGTAGTATAAGTAAGATAGTCTAATCTGGATCTAATAGCTACTAAGCTATAGTAGAGTTTACTATAAATAGTAGTAATTTAAGAGCTCTAAATTAGATCTCTAGGGCCTATTTCTACTAATTAAAGTTATAAAGCCCCTATAATTTAGAGGCTTTAGAGAACTTATAAACCCTTTTATTAAAATCCTTAATAATAGAGTCTTTAAAGACCCTAGTTAAGGAATTAGAGCTCTAAGAGCTCTATAAGATAGACTATTAAATAGTACTAGTAGTACTAGAAGCTAGTTAGCTAGTATTAGTAGTACTAGGGGTCTACTATAACTATAGTAGATTTATAGTAGCTATAAGCTACTAAAGGGTTTACTATATAGTAGTAATAGCTTTAGTAGTATTTAGATTCTAAAGGCTCTAAGTAATAGTAGTATTATCTATTATAAGGCCTAAAGAAATAATACTAGTAGTACTAAAGTTTACTAGTTAACCCTATAAGCTCTAAGTAATAATAATACTCTCTACTATAGGAATAGTACTAGTAGTACTAAAAGGGTTTAATTAGCTAGCTATAGTAGTAGTACTAGCTATTAGAATAGCTACTAAAGAAGGATAAGTTTTAGTACCTTTAGAGGCTAATCCCTCTATATAGTTATCTTTATTAGCTATTTTAGATCTTCTTTAGTAAAGGAAGCTACTAAGACCTAGGCTAAGATATAAGATAAGTTAGAAGACTTTTCTAGTATAGGGTAAGAGCTTTTAAATCTGAAGATAAAGCTCTTTCTTACTAAAGTAGATAAGATCCGAGCTTATAATCTCTTAAAAGATTAAGACCTCTAGTATAGGGTAGATTAGCTATAGGGTAAGCTGGGTCTAGGGTAGATATAGTCTATAGGGTAGGCTGAGGAATACTAAAGGGATTATTTTAAAAGATATAGTAGAAGAAGCAGTCTACTGAGTAAGAAAGAGAGACTTTATTAGCTATAGAGTAGCTAAGAGGATAGACTATAGGGTAGATAAAAGAGTAAATTAGTAGTTTAAAGAACCTCTATCTAGTAGGGAGGAAGCCCTGTACTTATAGATATTTCAGAACTCTAAGAGCTCTAAAGATAATATATTATCTTCTATAATATAAGCTTATAACTACTATAAGGTTCTTATATAGTAGATATAAGATCTGCTAATATAAGTACTATAGTAGATATAAAGTCTACTAATATAGCTACTATAGTAGTTATAAGGTTTACTAACTAAGTACTAAGGTTCTTATATAGTAGATATAAGGTCTACTAATATAAGTGCTATAGCGGATATAAGGACTGCTAATATAGCTGCTACAGCGGATATAAGGACTGCTAATACAGCTGCTACAGCGGATATAAGGACCGCTAATACAGCTGCTACAGTATAATATAAGATCGCTAATACAGTTACTATAGCGACTGTTATAGCGGTTATAACTACTAATACAATTACCCTAACGGGTAGCTACAGCAGGTTAGGCCGGTAGCTTCAGCAGGTTTCCAGCTTTAGAAAGCCCTAAATTAGTTATTTTATTCCTCTTTACCCTATACTAATCTAAGATTATTTAATTAACTAATATAGGGTAACCTGATCTACCCTATAGTCTATAGAGTAAATCTTAATAAATATTACTATTAAAACCTAGAGTAATATTAGTAAATATTAAAAATAGTTTATTTAATACTACTTTATAGTAGGGATTAAGATTATTCTAAAGATAAGCTAGTTCTAGTAATATATACTAGGAATATTATACTTATCTAAATATATACTAAGTATAAAGAAGAGTAAGAATATATATTTCCTTAATAACTCTTAGAAGTAAAGAAAAGATATTAGAAATAGTATATAATATCTATTAGATTATTTAAGAGAGATATTTAAATTATTAGGAAAGATTATATTTAATCTAAAATCTTTATAGAGCTTTCTTAATATTATTATAATTTTAATTAGTATAATTTAATTAGTATAAATAGGAATTTAAATACTTATAATATCTTTCTAAGAGAAAATCTATTAATCTAATATAAAAACCAGATCAGAGCTCTAAAGTAGAAAAAACTTATAATATAGAGTCCAGTAATAGAAGAGTTAGAAACTATTTAGTTTATAGCTATTTTACCTTTTAGAGATAATACTCTAAGAGATAGTATTTTTTAAAGATACTCTTAGTATTTAGATAAATAAAGCTAATAAAGTAGTAGTATAATTATACTTTATACTTCTAATTTAAAGTTAGTAAATATTAATATATTAAAATATTAATAAGTACTTACTACTACTTTATTCTTCTATAACTTAGCTAATACTTTATAGAGCTATTCCTTATCTAATATACTTAGTAGAGGCTTATTATTTAACTCTATATTAAGTTAAGCTAATTAATACTCTACTAGAATATCTATCTTATCTATATCTATATCTTTAAAATCAGAATTACTATTATTATCTATTACTTCTATAGTATTAGACTCTATAGTAAACCCTAGTTATATTACTATATTATCTAGATACTTTCTATTTAAATAGCTATTTTAATTAGAATAAATTAATTAGGATAACTAATATTAGAAGGGTAGAGATTATACTTACTACTTTTCTTTAATACTAGTTCTAATAAGAGCTTTATTACCTTCTTATATCTCCTTACTAAGATTCTAATAATCTATATATTATTTATACTGTTTAATCTTATACTAGATTTACTTAGCTAATATAGTTTTAGTATTTTTAATTTATTACTCTGATTCTAATATTACTATAGTTTAATTTTAAAACTTCTTTATATATAGATTATCTAATAGTTCTTCTAGTACTTTTTATTTAATATTATTTTTCCTATCTAATAGATAGCTATACTTATATTCAGATATTCTTATAAATTAATTTAATTAAATTTAGAACTTTTAATATATTAGTAGAATAGTATTACTATTATAATAAATAGATATATATACTAGAAGGGGTAAAAATAACTTAGAAAGTATATTAAAAAAATTTATAAGATAGTATAGATAGTTATTTTAATTAAGTTCATATAGAGAAGATTTAGTATTTTTAAAAATAGTATATTATCTAAAATAGGGAATAAGTAGAGCAGAATATAAATTAGTAATCTCTAATTAGCTAAAAATTCTAGTAACCTACTTTATCTATATCTAAAGTTTTTTAATTTATAATTTAAATTCTACTTATACTCTAATCTTTTATAATCTAAATTTTAATTTAACTAAATCTAGCTATAGCTAAGTAAGTTATTATAGTATTTCTTTCTATATATAGTATTTCTAATCTTTTATTAGTATATTTTAATTAGTATAATTCTCTATTCTATACTAATATAGTAAAAACTAAGCAGATCTTATATAGATCCTTTATAGAAGAAAAGACTTCTTAGAAAGATATTATTTTAACTATAAAGGCTATTTATATTTCTAAACCTATAATAACTATAACTACTAAATAATAATAGAGATCTAGTAATAAGTAATATTTTATTAGGATAATTTAATTAGGATAATTCTAATACTACTATAGCTATATTATTCCAAGAGATTTATTACTATTAGAGATTAATTAATCTCTTTATATTAAAAGCTCCTTTTATATATCTTATATATAAGGTTATCTAGGATTTTAAGATAGATTTATATTAGTAAAATTCAGCTATTAGTACTATTTAGAAAGCTATAGAAGATATTTTAATTACTATATTTATAGATATAGTATACTTATAGATTTTAAGTATATATACTAATCTTTTATTATAGCTATTTAACTTCTTACTATTTATACTAAATAAGTAATAATTAAATAAGCTGATTTCTAAATATTAAGAGAAATTATAGATATATTTCTAAGCTTAAGTATTAAGTTTCTTAAACTATATACTAATAAGTAACTTTTCTAATATCTAACTAATTATTCTAATTAAATTAGTTTAATTAATATATCTAGCTATTAATTATAATATTAATTATTAAGAGATACTCTATAAGGAGGAGTAAGTAGAAAAGAAGAGGAAGAATAATAAACTTATTACTATAGAAACTTACTAAACTTAGAGAGTTAATTATAGTTATAGTTATAGTTATAATAGTATCTATTCTATATATAGTTTAAATTAAACTTTATATAGTAGTAAGGTTCTATATAATAGTAAATCTGATCTAGTTATAAACCCTTCTCCTAATAACTCTAGTAAGAGTTCTAATAATAAGTCTAATAAGGGTTCTAGTAAGGAATCTAATAAGAGTTCTAATAAGAAATCTAATAAGGAATCTGATAATAGAGATAGAGTAAATATATAGTTTACTAGTATTTACTAGTAGAGAGAATATTTATCTAGTTAGTTATTTCCTATTAAAATAAAAGTTCTTTATATTTTACTCTAGGGTACTCTAATTATTATCTAAATTTACCCAGATAATAAAATATATTTATCTGTAATTTAATATAGGTAAATTTAGATCTTAATCTATACCCAGATTTACCTATATATATTTTTAGGTAATTTTCTAAGACCTATTCTATATATTGGATACCCAAAATTACCTATAGGTACCTGATGCCGGTCTCTAATTACTACTAGTGCATAGATAATTGGTTATTCAAAAGAGATGTTCTAGTACTAGTAGGTTATTAGGGATGCTTTATTCCTATATTCAGCTCCCATCGCTCACTGCTTATGGCATTTGAGAGAGCCGATCCAGTGCTGTATAATATCGTTGACCTTATCATGAGCCTCGATCTGAATCCAGTGGCCACTGTCAACCTCAAACTTTTGAAGATCTTTGAAGTTCCTTTCCATGCCCTCGGCAACTTGGCACGGAACGAATTGGTCCTTGCGGCCACATATAAACAGGCTGGGAATATCAATCTGCCATGAGCCCCCATTGTTCTGCCAGGTGATGTCGTCCTCCCAATCGAGTCTTGCAGTACGGTAGGGGTTGAAGAGACCGACGGGCAGGTTGTAATGGCTGGTCATCTCACGGACGTAAATGTCTTCCAGGTCTCGAGGCAGGAAAGGGGCCACCTGCATCTGGTCGAGGAGGTCGAAGTTGAAACCGTTCGTGTTATTGACACCAGGCTGGCCATCGGCGGTTGTTCCTTCAAAAACCTATAGGTAATACATTAGCACTGGTAGAGAAAACCGACCCGGGGCTCAGAAGATTGCTTACAGCCCGGAGCATATGCCTGAACTTATCGGCTCCCCGAAATCGTTCCTCCATTCCTGGTTGGCGCAGCTGGAGTACATAGCCCTGGAATGTTCTCTGTCCAGCCTCGATTGCGTCGGCAAGATCCAAGTACTTGGGCGCAGGAGTGAAGAGCGGAACCGCCAAATTGATGACGGCACTGAAAAGTTGGGGATGGCGCACAACGAGACCCCAGACCGCCACAGCGCCCCAGTCATGACCGACAAGAATCCCCTTTTCTCTATCCTCCAAAACAGTCTGGAAAAGCTCAGCGAGGTCACTGACAACGTTCTTTTGAGCATAGGGATCAACAGAAACGGGGCGGGATGACTGCCCGAATCCAAGCATATTGGGGGCAATGACGCGGTATCCCATGGACGTGAGGAGGGATATCTGGTTATGCCAGCCGTAGGCCATATCAGGCCAACCGTGAACGAGGAAAGCCGTCCCGGCATATTTCTTATGGCTGTCTGGTTCCGCTCTGAGGTAATGGTATGTATTGTTAGCGATGAGGGCATACTCGTCAGTGTAGTCAAAACCAAGACTGGCTGCGAGCCCGAGCGTGGACATTGCCAGGGAGGTGAAGAATGAGAATCTCATGGTTCCGTAATGAATAGAGGGTTCGTTTTGATTTGAAAGGTTGAGAATGGAAGAGACAGTTGATCATTCTGGGAAGGGCAACGTTCCTTTATAATGTTCCGAGGTTTTCATCTTTTCTGGAGATTTCGGTACGACATGTAGATGCTAGTACATCCTGAGGCGGTCTAAGCCACGATGCCGGTGTAAGATGAGATGGGATCGGCGGCGATGCACTTAGACTCAAATCCTGCGCGCGCAGTTTGAGCCTTTTTGGGGATTCAAACTACCCTTTTTTTTTCGACATTGACCCACAACCTCCTTTACGTTGTCGAGATTGGACTAGAAGCGAAGTTGGGACTTCTGCAAGCACTAGCATAGCTAAATATAATAGGCTCAGATGCGGAAGGACATTTTGTATGTGAAATATCGGTATAGGGTCTCCATCTTCTACCATCCTGGCCCCTGAAATCACGTAATCTGGGGAATGGCTGCAGAGCTCACTGCTGAATTTGCAGCTAACTTCGCAAAATCTGTACGTAAACCTGTTTAAAAACGTATTCTAAAGCAACAGAAGGCTTAGCATATAGGCCTGATTCAGACCTCCGAGACGCCCACGGAATGATTTCCAAGGTACTGACTCCTTCAACTCTGGAAGGATATAACCGCGCGTAAATTCTTATCCCCTAAATATCCCATTTAGAGACATCTAGAATAACTACAACTTCCCTATTCAGTAAGTAGATACACTTTATTCTCTACTACTATAGCGGCCTATATACCGATATAGATATAATCTGTTCAAGTAATTTCCTGTTTTCAAGGGAAGCTCAAACTCCTCAGAATATAAATCTCTTTTCCAGTTAATAAAACCCACGGGAGCTATTAATAATCATATTATAATTCTATAGCTAAGCTTCCTATATTTTAACAGGCTATTTCCAACCTTGCCTTCTATATCCGTTTTACTTACTTCTGAACCAAACCACAGCTATACAGTAATATAATATTCTCCTCTAGCCTAATATTTATCAGCCTAGGTTATATCGAAACACCTTTATAAGAAGCCTTCCTACCCCTCTCTAACTATCAATTTAATTACCTCTTAACAGAGAACACTATATATTACCAACCTGCAGAGTAGTACTTAATATAAAGGAGATATCTATATTCTCATATAGCTGGGCTACCGACTGCAGACTTAGTATACCCTGGGTATCCTGGGCTGCCTGGTTGGTTTTCTCTTTTCGCCTACAGATTATCACGGCTGCATGGCTGTATATAGTGTCGGTAAAGTCAGGCGTTATATTCCAATCCTGTCAAGCAGTGTAAAATGAAATAGTTGGTTGAGGGAGGTGGTGCTCACGATTAGAAGGACGAAATAGAGTGTCACGATACAGATTTCAGTACGATCACAACCCTAATTCTTGGCTCCATAGCTCTTCTAGAGAGTCTACAAATAGTCTGGGAAAGCGGCCAGGCGGAAAATGCATGTTGTTGGACTGTCCGGCTATGGTATCCTGATACCAATAAACTAAAAGTAAAAACCGGCTTTACTGTCTTTGTTAAGGTCCAACTACTTCTCGTCTTATACTCATATTTTCTCGTTCAGATACTTCATCTTGAATCCCCTTTGTTTTCTTCTTCTTTTTTCCTGTTAAAATCTGGCTAGGCTTGATACTCTGTTAGTTGGTTCCCAAGTTTTGTTTGGTTATTTTGTTGTCTACATCGTTAGAGCCACCCTCCCACCAAGCGATGCGTTCGATCAGCGCGAGACAGGCTTTGTTCTTACGTACAATTGCGCTCAATTTTTTGTCGCTCAATGTATTTACTGAGGCCTCCTTGCGTTGACAGCAAGCATAGCCTTCACATCAATTGCTTATTAATAGAATTCATGGACCGTTCAAAGCTTCACGACAGAGAGTGAAAGCAAGATTCCAGGATGAATTTATAAAAGGGCAGCACATAAGCTCTCCCTGGTCGAGAAAATGGTTTTGTTTACAACCTTACGTGCAACTTTGTATGAAACTACCCATCGGGTCATTCCTGTTGCCCCATTCAGCCGTGCACCGACGTTACCATGTATCCGGATTGGCCCAGATCCGAAGCTGATCTGGTCCCCCTGCCACGCTGCGACGGTCCCAAGCTGGAGCCGTTCGACTTCAAGGGCCCGCAACAGATCGAGTTCCTCGAGTACCTCGGAGATGGTCTGCATTCGCAAGTCCTCAAAGTGAAAATCCTGGGCCAGATCTATGCATTGAAAATGGTAAGTCTCATCCAATCTATGGCAGGGCCTCTGTAGCTGATACCAATTGCATGCAGTTTCGATTCTGCTGGGATGAAGATTGGTTGGGCCGCGGCCCGGACAATGACGAGAATGATCTCGAGGCCAACACTGCTTTTTACAATTACTCGGAGCCCTTCACCAGCGAATGCCGTGCTTTTGGTCGCCTCCGCGAAGCCGGTTGGGAAGAGCTGGCGGTCAAGTGCTTCGGCTACGTGCTGCTCGACGAGGAACACGAACGTGCCATGTTGAGCCAGTTCAGCAACGTCGAGCTGAATGGGAGCTTCTACTGCCCCGGAGCCGACGACATGCGCTCGCGCTTCCTGGGCAGAGACGGCAGGCCGCCGCCCCTCCGAGGCATCGTCAAAGAATTTGGCCCCGCCATGGAGAATATGCACAACCTCGAGATGCGCAGGATCCTCCGCGACATGGTTGGATTGCAGCAGCTTGGCATTGTTCACATCGATATAGCGGATCGACAGATTATCGGCGGCAAGATCTCCGACTTCAGCACAGCAATGACCGTGCCGCATTATCTCTTGACCCCCGAACTCAACCCGCACCTGACTCCTGAGTGGATATCTGCTATGGAGTATGAGGCCTTCCAGTTCAGTCTCAACGACTTCTTGGAGTTTGACGACATGGCGAGGATCTGGAATGATGAACACCCGGAGCAAAAGGCCAAAATATCATTCAGGGCACTTCCTGGCACCTATGGAGATGGTGACGGATACAACTTGAGAAGCACGCCATCTCGTGAAGCTGTTTATTCTTTGGTTGACCCAAGACTGTATGACTGGAAGGATTCCACCGTCGACGAGAAGGCGAGGTCAACCAAGGGAAATGTCGGAACAAAGAAGAGCGGCTCTGGAAAGCCTGCTCAAGGGGTTTCCAAGTCCCGTCGACGGCTCAAAGCGAAGCCGCCCCGATGGTACTATGATTGCGGCCAGAAGACGGCGGCAGACCTGAAACGTCTAGATCATTTTAGTACCTCAATCGGATGGGTGTTTAGAGATGGCCATATATTTCCTCAGAAGAAAAAATCATATATCTAACACATGACGTACGAGGTTTTGGCTGCTTGGAGACTATGTGTGGTGCGTTGAAGGAGTAGGTCGAGAGAATCTAAATTTTAGGGTGTACATTGTTAGTTTGTAGGAGCGTACTGTAGGTAATAGAGATCAAATACGATTTCCCTTTTAAACTATAATCGATGTACCAAGCAGGCATGTCAGATGCAGAGGCGGAGAGAAGCTGTGAATTGTGCTATCTAAATGCGAAATGGGACGACTATGATGAGGCATTACTCAACGCCGAAGCTGAAGCAAAAGCCCCATGGACTCTATACATTTCTTCCTGTCTCGCGATATCCTGACTGACTCTAAGCACGCATTCTAGTAGACGGATCCATGATTTGACAATGAACCAAACAGCGTCTTCGCATTGTAGGTCATCCACCGCGTCTTTGCCCTGTTGATAGAGCTAAGTCTGATCGTTGTCGGGGTTGGTGAGATACTGGACCACGTCATGATCGATTGGGTTTGCCATTCCTTGATGCTCGGGTCTCGGGGGGTTGGCACCAAAGGCCAAATCGGCGGGGTTGACACCAAAGACCGGATTGGCTGGGTTGCCCTGAGCCTCGAACGGTGGCATCTGGAAGAGCTCGGGCGCCGAGTAGTTCGAGTATTTATGGACCATGGATCCCTGGAATTCATCCCATGCCCACTGATCAATCTCAACCATTTCCTCCTCTGCCACAATCTCCGAGTTGCGCTTTGACGATGCTGCAAGCATGCACAGCCACCACAGGGCCAGATCAGCCGTCAGAACACCCTCCCCGAAATTGCCAACTGGGATTGACGCAATGGCCACCTTCCACTCTTCAGCTGCATTCTTATTGAACCGGCAAACCACAAACTCCTTGTCAGTTTGTATATAGCCATATCGTGTATTGGCAATATCGCAAATCGCCAATAGCTGTCTCAACGGCCAGGTTTGCTCCCTAGTAGGCTTTCGGCCTTGATCTAGCGCACACGTGAGGTCGACACCTCTCCATTTTTTGCTTGTTCTACCTAAGCCAACGACAAGGTTCTGAGGCAAGTTGCATGAAAGTGAGATGACGTGGTCAACTTGAAGTCTTGGCGAGTAGCCGGGTATCTTGGCAAGTGTTGACTTATTCGGGGTTGAATAGGCATGAGATGAGGGGGAACCCTGCTTCAGGCCAATGCGAGAGCGGGCGAAGTCAAATGTTGCCTTCATCATCATGGCATTCCAGCCAATCAAGTTGTTGACATCAAGGTCTGAGTTGACTGTAAGGCCTTCGAATGTCTGGTTGATTGAGGGAACACCGGATAGGGGATCCGAAACGGGGAGGTCAAGGACATGGCTATAACTGGCATTGAGCGTGTCCAGGTTGAACTCTTTCCAGATGGTGATATTCTTTTTATGGAGGTCCGGCCAGCTACATTTTGTGGTATTCTTCGTAGCGGTAGTCAAGCATGGAATGTCTGGTTTGCGTTGACTGAGTAGCTTGCGGAGGGTGGTGGCTTCGCGAGCCATAGTTGCGGTCGGGGAATATACACTCAGTGGGCAGATTTGTTGCGTGAAAACTGGTAATGTAGAAGGGAGGAACTTTTTTTTGAGCGGTGGAGGTGGAAGCTACTTTATGGGAGACTTCTTCCATCGTTTTCTAATGCTGAAACGCCTGGCGTGGTACAAGTTGAAAACCCCGACGTGATACAAGCTTAGGCAGCGACCAACTGGCATTTCTAGCGTCTTTGTTCATGATTGATTACGACTATGACAATCCTTGTAGCAAATAAAGGTGCTCGGCAAATGAAGGTGCTTGGCAAATGAATGTTCTTACAAAAAGAACAATCTACTCTTGATTGCCGTTTGAAAAACACCTTCCCTTTGTAATGATAACAGAGACTTGCTTTTAGCTTAATCCATCTCTGCCCAGATGCTACTTCCTCCCCTTCCAAAGTAGCTGACTTAACCGAAGAGGCAAACAGTCGGACTTTAGCATTATTTCTACATACACTAACTGTCCTCTACAGACGCCTCGATATAATCCAGTAATTCTGAAGGCTCCTATGAAATGGAATAGGGCTTGATACCTATAAAGCAGAGGAAGTAGCTAGTAAACACAATGGATCTGAGGATTAATTCACTTGATGGCAGAGATATAAAGCCCAAAAAGGATTCATTAAGTCGCTCTTAAAATTATCTGTGACGAAACGATGCTTCTTAATGATCCTAGTAATGACGATGAGAGAGCCTATACTATCATTATAATAGCGTTCCAGTTACTACTAACGTCAATCTAATCAAAGCAATTCAATGACCAGCTCCTAGCTGTTAAAAACTAGAGAATTTGTAGATATCACGTAAAGAGAAACACAAGGCCCTAACCCTGGCTAATCGACGCGTGCCGTACTTTTTCTAGGATGTGAGCAAAAGAGAGAGTTGCCACTGGGGTTCATTCTCTAGCCCTATGCAAGGCATGAAAAGTTATTAGGTTATTATCTATTAACCCTATTATTTACTAATTAATTTGAAACTATAACGGTAGATATATAATAGGCTGATTAGTATCTACTATTTCTCTTAAGAAGGAAACTATTACTAGTTTACCTATTATCTTATCTATTATACTCTATTAATAAAATCCTATAGTATTAAGATAGCTATTAATTTTATAGATCTATTATATTTTATTACTATATAGAAATATATTAAAACTCTATTTTAATTAGATATAATATAAAATAATATTATAAAATACTTAAAAAAAATATTAATAATTATAAATTATAATAAAATTTAAAATAAAGAATTCTAAAAATTTAATAAAATTATATATATATTATAAATTCTCTTAATCTCTAATCTTTATAATATTATAAAATAAAATAATATAAAATATAAAAGATTATAATATAATAAATCTAGAATAAAATAGATATATTAAAAAAATATATATAGTTATTTATTAAAATAGAGCTTTAAATTTATTAATTTATATATAAAAAAAAGAAATTAGATATTCTACTAATAGTAATAATAAAGAATATCTAATAATAAACTAGAGCTTTATAAATAGAAATAATATATTATATTATAAAGCTTTCTATTAGATTAATAAATATTATTTTAATATAGTAGATTAAATTTATATAAAGTAGAGTAAAATCTTATTTAAGTATAATATAAACTTAATTAGTTTAAACTATTTATTCTTTAGAATACTATAATTCTATTTATATTAAAATAGTTTATTAAAAAGAATATTAATAAATATATAATATAATATAATAGAAATTAAAGAATAAATTTTAATTATATAAATTTATAATAGCTTTTTATAATTTAATTAATAATTAATTAAGTTTTTAGAATAACTTCTTAATAGGAAATACTCTATTATTAAGAAGAATAGTTATAGTAGATAGTCTATAGAGGCTTTTATATATCTTACTACTTAGCTTTATAAGCTTAATTATAAATTATATATAATTTAGATTAATTTAACTCTCTAGTATTAATAGAGAGATATTATCTTTAGAAATTCTAGAATACTATCTAAGATAAAGATAGAGTATCTTCTTAAGGAAGTATATAATTTAGAATAATAGATTAGATTTATTAAAGAGTTTATAATAATTTCTATTATTAGGTTTTATAAGATAGTAATCTAAAGAATAATATACTTAATATATAAATAGTTATTAGTAATTATATCTAATAAGACTTAAGAACTTCTATTATATATATTATCTAGTAGTATTTATTAGTCTATATATAATTAATAATATATTCTATAAATCCCTAAAGTCAGAATAAGAACTAGCTCTATAGTAAGCTAAATATAAAGATAAAAACTTAGAAAAACTATCTCTAGATTCTTTTAATAGATAGATTTAAACTTACTTATATTTATTAATATATTTAGAGGCTTCTGAATTATAATCTAATTATTAAAAAATTCTTAATTTCCTTATTAATAAAATAAAAGTATAATTTAAAAGTCTTTTATCTATATATAAGAGTAGTACTAAAAGTTATATAGTTAGTAATAGAGTAATTAATTATAAAGTATACCCTAAGATATATATTAGAAAGTAATTATAAATATAGAAAAATCTATATAAAAAGAAATATAATATAATTAGTTTCTAGTAATAAGGAAATTAGGAGGAGGTATATAATAAAGATAGTAAAAATAAGGATAAAATATATATTTATATTATACCTCTCGTATAGTAGCTACTAATACCTCAATAGGCAGTATTATACAAGCTTTCGGGAATTAGTTGAGTTGCTGCACGCCTATATCAGAATATATATACACTCGACACGGTGCAGACGATATGTAACATTCGATATTGTAAGGCTTTCTTTCCACCACTATGAACAAAAAAAGGGACTCCGAGGTTACTAGTTCAATTACCCATTCTCTGCAACAACTGGTTCTGGTTTACGATACTCTTTAGTCAGAGTGACAATGGTTTCACTATTTGATTGATCAAATTATTAATCAATCGAGTAAATGATTTTAGAAGGCAAAGTAGATTTAATCAGAGAACCGAGTCTGATTTATTCCTCCAAGTATTGCGCAATTCTAGAACAAATGCCTCATCAAGCATTCGTCGGGACCATATGGCAAGCTTCAAACTCGAGAGTTCATGCTTTCAAGTAAGAAAAATCTCTTTCCATGACAGCCCTGGTCCGAGACTATTGGTTAAAGCTCCCGAGTCAAGCCAATCGATTCCTCTTCGCTCACTAATCCTATTATGTGTCTCGATACACATTACAAAAAAATGGAGAGTTTCACCACGTGGATCCGGAAGAACGTGATACCGCCAACTCGGGGTGCTGAGTAGGATGACTTCAAAGACTGTCTGGTCAACAAAGAAGAAGGTCTCCTCATAGCCATCTAGTAAGACTCTGCCGACAGCCTCACCGTCGCGGGTGCACAGGTACGCCGAGCCACGGAGGACATCAGTACGGGTGAGCTGGAAAAAGGGCGAGAGAGTCCAAAAGCACAGAACATCACCGTCTGCAGAGCGAATACGGACTATCCGGCCACGTTTGGAGGGCTCGGTGCGGGAGGTTGAAAACGGCAAGCCCGGGTAGAAGGATTCAAACGGACGTCTTGATATAACGCGGTCAAAGTTACGACCTGGCGCAAGCTTTGTAGCCCTCCCAAAGTTTGCCTTGTACCAGATGATCCAATGGCAGTTTTCTAGCCATGCATCATCATCTTGTTGCTCTGTCCTACCGAACGGTTCTTATGTGGGGTAGAAAGTGAGTTGGCCTATCCAACCCAACCAGGAATAACTGGGAAATCCTTTTCGGCGGCGCAGCGAAGTATGGCCATTATAAAACAAGAGAAACTCGTCGAAGGCGTGAATAGGAAGACCTCCAAAAAACATGTGTTTTGCATCTTTTCCCCGAACCATCTCGTGATACCAGCAACGGCACGGTTTGCATCGCCCTGGTACGTCAATGCGCGCCAGCTGTAGAGCTCCAGGAGAGACTTGAAGCCTGAGAGTGGTTCGGACCTCATAATGCTAAAGAGGGTCCCGATGAGGAGGCTTTTATATGGGGACTGCTCCAAGCCTACCATTGTCTCAGAATATCCTCGGCCGGGGCAGCGAAAGTATACTTGGTCGTTGACGAAATAAAGCGACGGCCGTGATAGAGCTTGTTCCTGCAGTCTGTTTGTTTCAATCTTTGATATTAACATCGGACACTTTTTCTGAAAGAGACAGATGTGGGGTGATACTCACGTCCAAGCTCGCGAACTGTATACTGTATATTGCAAAAGGTAGCAAGGATCTGTGTATACAGCTAGTTGAAGCCCCGGCTCTATCTCAGCTATTGTCTGTGCCGTCCTACGGCTTCCCGAGCCAACCCCCGGCAGGCCGCCACGATGCAAAGGATGGGTTGCTCATACATGAGATCCATGACGTTCGTGCCATGCCGTAAATCCTTAGGGTCGTTTTGCATAAGACAAAGAGAATCCACCCACAAGTAACGCTCCCCCACCAGTTGTGTCGTTGTAATGGCATCTTGAATGGTCTTCGGTATAAGATCCCAGGCCTGCCGAATCGCGTTGGGTTGCAATTAGCGAAGGAGGTTTATTCTTGAAAGGCGAAGAGTGGAGACAGACCCCCAAACGTAGCTGAGCGTGACATAACGAGTAAATTCGCACACCTCAACGAGACAGTGCTGGTGAACATCAATCAAGCGCAGAACTTTCAACCTCGGGAAGAGGTTCCCTATCGCGGCTTCTCGATATCTTGAAAGAAAATAGCAAGAGGAATGGTTCTTTTCGCAGTCTGCTAGCCAGTTTTTCACTTTCCCGAAGTCAATCTGCGACTGCTTCAACGGCATGTAAAGGCCGGACAGGCAGGCATGGGCCGGCTCAGATTTCAACTGGACGGAGGACAAAACCGTTCCCATGGAAATGCGTCCCGGCGTAAAAGAAAAGCCAAATATGCCGCAGCGCTCGGACGGGAGCCAAAGTAGCTCAACCTCGTTGCTGTCGTCGAGCACGAAGTTCTCGGTTCGCTGGATCTCGAGCGTGGCAAACGTGACGAGCTTGCAGAGTGGGCAGCCGCGCACCCTCACCCCTCCAAGAGGGCCGAGTTTGAGTGGTTTTTTGAACTCGAAATAGTCACTTTCGGCGAGCATGTTCTTACCAAAGGGTAGGTGGTCCTTATCGAAGTCGAGGCCACTGCAAGTCCTGCACAGCTGGCCTCGAAAGACCATGGCTTGTGTTTCCTACGAACCTCTTACTCCTTTTTCTTCCAAATTCCTGCCGGTGTCGAGCGTCGACACTGTAGAATTTGTTAAACTTCTGAAACGTTCCACATTGCGTGCAAGAAATGGATCGTACTCACTGCTTTTACCCCGCGCTTTTGGGGGCGAGATTTTGATAAGACTGCGCATCTGAGAGGATCAACCCATGCGAGGTAGATTTTATGCCACCTGGCAAGGCATTCAAAGGATACCACCCCTACAATATCACAAAATGCCTCGCCCAAGTCAGACGCAAGACCTCATAGGGCAACATCGTGAAGGTACCTACGAAATCCTCACTAAAACCCCTGTCGATCCGCCGTGCTGATTAGGTGACGGTAGCATTACAGAAGTGAGGTTTTTGCTTGGCTTTGGTAGTCCTGTTAGATACAATCTGATTATGGATAATATACCAATCGAGCTTCAGTTTCCAAACTGTACTAAATACATTAGTAGCCACTACTTCTTCCTAGGAATAATAGGTAGTAGTATATAGTTCTTATAGTCTCCCCCAAAATGAATGTGGTTAGAACCCTTAAATATAGTCTTAGGTCTATACATTGTTAGCTGCCAATACAGAGATTAAAGTCACCGTAACCTCACCTGTCTTTAGTATCATTGTGAGTAAAGAATCCAGTGCCAGCCAGATCACGGGAGCCGATGTCGAGGACGAGCTTTTCTCCCTTTTGCAAAACCACATTGGTTGGCCAAATCTCCACATCCACTCCATACACCTCATTAGGAATGACAGGAAGAACACTAGAAGAAGTGTACTCTCGATAAGGCAGCCAAGATCTGTGTTGCCGATGTTCGGGATTTGTCTGTCTCAAGCTTACCCGAAGGAAACCCTTGGTAATTGGAGCTGCCTCTCCGGTCGTACCTGTATAAAAAACCTCGTTTCCAGGAGCATCTAGATGACGCAGGGACAGGAAAAGGTCAATATCGGAAGGAGTAGGCGAGGAGATGTCGGGGCTGAGCGACACATTGAGGTGGACAACGATGTGGCCTGTGATTTCCGTCTCCTTCTCAAATGGTGCTGAAGAGAACGATACAAACTCATGTTCACTTTGTTCCGCAAATGCTCGATATGTGAGCTTGTGAGGTGCATTATCATCTGGCTCAGCCCACTGTAAGAGATTGTCCGAGCTGAGAAATATTTTCTGGTACTGCGTTCTGGCAATCGGCCATTCGTCCTCCTTTCTGCGTTGAAACTGGCTCTCAGCCTTTGGGTCGTTGTATCCTACATTGCCCTTGCGGAGAATGAGGTCAACCGGTGGGAGCTTGCCCTTGACTTTCCAACCCTCTCGATCATCGTTCTTAAGGAAAGCGTCCAAAAAGCTCTCCTGAGCCTTGAGCTCTTCAGGGAAGTAAAAAGGCAGGTCATGTCTTCCTACTATAAACCGAATATACTTGAGCTCGGACGCAGAATGCATGAAACCTTGAACGTTACCGCGTAAATGCAATAAAATTCCTCCCCAATTCGCAACGCTCAGCACCGGAACCTTGATATCTTCCAAGTTAAAGTTAACGGATGCGAATCGCTCGTCATCAGCAAAGCGAAATACGCGTGCAGAATCGGTGAGTTTTGTTGAGTTACGAGAAAGCTCCTCGTCCGATAATGGACCATCAATGGGGTCATCACCCCAGCCTCGTGCCTTTCTGCCAGGAAGGCCGTACTGAGAGGGGCCAATTTGCCTGTCCCAGATGAGGCCCAAGCCGCCGTTGGATAAAATACCTCCATGACGACACGCGTCGCGGTATACATCAGAGGCAGCTTCCCATGGGACAATAGCAGCAAGACCTTTGGGCTGCCGGGCTGCTACGTGCCACTGAGTGACACCATAGTAGCTAATACCTAAAAGACCAACCTTGCCATTGCTCCACGGCTGCTCCGCTGCCCACTCAATAAGATCAACGAAGGCATCGATGGTTCCCCTAGACAAAATGTCTAGATGGCCTGGCGACTGACCAGCTCCAGGCTCATCGGCTCGAACAACCACGTAGCCTCTAGTAGTCCAGTGGCTAGGTGTTGGGGTCTCCCACACAGAGTGACTGGTTTTATGGGCAGCAGGCACCTCCGAGTAACTGTGAGGGTTGAAGCTGGATGATGACTTAGCAGCAACTCGGTTGTTAAGCTTGAGTGGACTTGCCTACTTTCCATAATGTACATCCTTTCCATAAGGGCCGATAGTCGCAAGAACAGGATATTTGGCCTCTATGTTCTCGACTTTTGGGCGGAACACGTTGCATCGGATCATGCCACCTGCCTTGGTCTTGATACTCACATTCTTCTCAAAGAGAAAAGAGTGAGATCCGTCTTCGACAGTGGAAATGTTGGCGGCTTCAGACATTTTCAAATGTTGCTAGTTATTAATCAATATGTAGCCTTTTATTCCTACAAACCACTTATGAGGGCTGACTTCCATATATACACATCCACTTGATGGAGAGTAAAGGAAAGAAGGTTCAGTGCATTCGGGAAAAGGTGATGCAATATGCCGACTACCGGGAAATGCTGCGTTCGGCGCCCTAAATGTTCCCACTCGGAACATAGACAAAGCTGTTTACTGTACCTAGTTATCGTATGATACTGTTAACCGGGCCGTCCGGATTGAACAGTGGGAATTTGCCGCAGGTCAATGTAATGGTTCCACCAAATGCCGATTGATGGTCTGAAATCTAACCTTCATGCATCCAGTCTCAGTGAAACATTAGACGACTACCGGCTCCTATGATAACCTCGCGTCGCTAACCTATCTCTCTAACATTATGATTTCTCCATTCACTTCACTTTCTAATCATTATTGGGAAAAGAACATGAGCTCTGAACTGGAGAGTTGTATCCGCTCTAATGCCCCTATCTGGTCGCAACGATTGGGCGAAGACAAATGGTACATTATCGCAGTAAGTCATATATAACATTTCTATCTGCGTATCCTTCGGAATTACTATTAAGCTCCAGGTGGCCGCTCTCACTAGCGGAAATCATTACGAGACTGCGGCAGGGGCACTCTTTCAGTACCTTGCAGCCCTGCCTAAACTCGTCAGAAGAATTCGCGAAGCATTGGTTAAGCTCGTTTCTTTCATTGGTATACCCAAAAGTCTAGAGGGAATGATGAGCCTAGCCAATGCAATTCACAGTCACAATCATAATCTAACCTTTGTCCGGTATGTTAGATGACTTCTTTGTGCCCCCAGAAACATATAATCGTTGAAATTTACTGATACTGTTCCAAATACTTCAGCAGTGGATGGTCGCCTGCACAAACACGAGACAAGGGGATGGATCTAAATAATAGGAATCACCAAGGTGACGCGGACAAGGGTTTCGAACTCCTTCAACCTCATCAAGTCTTTCATTTCATTCTTGTGGACATCGTTTACGAGTTGTTTCTATTAGATAAATACATCCTTTTTGATCTCAAGATAAAACCACTCATCATGGCGTCTCTTATCAGCCAAAATACCAACTAGGAAATAATATGGCAGATGAAAGGGCTGAGCAGGCTTGGGATGGGCTGTGTGAGAATAAGTCATGTACTCGACGGTCCCGCCGAGATTGCCAACTTCATGCAGAGCTCCTAAGTGGGCGTTTTTATGAATTAAAAATCAGCTCCAGTTGCTGGCCATAGCAATTACTGTGGTGTTGTGATTCAAGTAGCCTATCGTTGATTTCAGTGGCCCTTCCGAAATGTGTGTTTCAAAGAGATTGCAGAAACTCTGCCTTGCATTGCGTGCCTGACGACCATATGGAAATCTGCTAAATGGGTTGCAAGTTCGTCGGAGTAATCAATTCAGAGCCATGCCAGTCAAATCCCGTTAACCAGTCCTCATCAGTCAAGAGTACTGAGCTTGGCCATTGATGTTCTTGTAATGCATCAACGCACTCCGGAACGACGTCGTTCCGCATGAGATCCTGAATTTGAGACTCCAAATTCATGTGGCGGTTCCAGAATGCTCCACCTGTATTATCTAGATCACTTGTCTCTGTTGGGCATAAGCGCGCTTCTGGCTGTGTCTGATCTTCCGTTTCATCGAGAAAACCGAGCCCCAAGTCGTCAAAAAGAGTGCCGTTGTCGATTGAGCCATTCTTCCAAACAATTTCGTTGTGTCCCAGTATTGAGATCCTGGCTTGCTTAGGGATTCTTTTGTGTCTATTTAGCTCTGATACATCCAATGCCATCGGTTCATCAGCAAGATAATACGCCATACTTTGGTGGTGACGATAGAGTGCCGGGATAAAAGAAGTCTATCGTGAGAAGAGCCCATTAGATGCATAATCACCAAAGAGGTTCGACTGGAAATGAGAGCTTACAAGTCTCGAAACAAGTCTCCATCGTTTACCAATAGCTTCCATGACTGTCATGTTTTTTTTAATGTCATCCAACGTTCTTTGTCTTACTCCTTCTTTTCTGCACCAGAGAAACGGTATCTGGATTGCTGAAGAACAATATGCAGCGTAACCAACAAACGCCGGAGCTTGTGAAATGGTCGCATGGTTAGTTTCAAGAAGAGAAGATATGGAGCGCGCATGCATAAGAGCTGTTTGTGCTGATACCGCCTGAGAATAGCCATGCTCTTCTATGGGTACGCCCAGAGAGAGCAAGGGAACTATTGACGAATGTACTGCGCAGCCAATCATATGGTATAGGATACCTATGAACACCCTTTGACTGAAAGTGATTGATGGCGCTGGCAAGACGGATGAGCCAAAGCCAAAGTCAGGATGGACCAGGCGTTTCCATATTTTCAACTCGCTGTCGATCTTTTGGATGTTGATGAGTTTGGTGTTGATATCAAGCTCATCATTGCATGCCATTCGACAAGCTGATGCCCTACTTATGTCAATAAGGCTGCAATTTATCTGGATTATGGGGACCAAACCATAAGCTTCCGAGTTCGATAAGCTCACTATAGAAGTTCGGTGTTCTGTCAGGGTCGCAGCGGGTGAATTGATGTTGGGGAATGTTATTTTCTTGGAATAGCTTGTCGTCACTTGGAAGAGACACCTTTCCAAGTAAGTGAATATCAAGCTCCGGAGATGTAGACCGAGTAATAAATTGTTTAATCAGAATGCAGGCCCAGAACCTCCTCCGACTCAACTCAGCCTTGACAGTGGTAACTCCATTGGCACGCCCGTTTTCGAGTCCCAACAGACGCCAGGTGCACTGCGCATTGCTTTCAAATACCATCATACGCTGCCACTGGCCCCTACTATACCAGAAAAAAGTGAGGTTAATGAATGTGACGATATTTTCCTCAGTGGGGCGATCGACCTGGGCAAAGACAAGCCGGCGTGCCTCTTCCGCCCAAGACTGGGCATCATCATGTAGACAAGGCTGCTGATCAACAAATCTACCGAGTTTTTGAGTCTCGTATAGCAATAATGCAGGCATAAGGGCATATATCGTACCTTGAACCGAGGGCGCATACGCTGAGAAGTACGTGCCTTTCGATGGATCCATCCAATATGGACTGGAGAAATGTAGGACGGTGGAGAAGCAAGTTCGCGTTGTATATGTTGATAAAATAATGATCCACCAGACCAGATACAAGATGTGAGGGAATTTTGGTGCCCTGATAGTTTGCTACATGAGTTGCAGAACTGTCAGAAGCCAGTTCTGGCAATCCTTGGTGGGATGATGAACCCCGATTTCGACGGCGGGTTCCTATCCATTGACAAGAACGACCGAGACGTAAGCACCTGGAGCATGTCGGTTTCTCGCCTGAGCAGCGAAGCTAGAGCAATGGTTTGTTTTAAGCGCATGCTAATCAATGACGGAGAAGACAGATAGATCTCTTGTGTGATGACGAAGCTCACCTTGCTAAAATTGCATTGGCTGCAAGCTGTCTTTGGCCGGCCTGCCATTATCTACCCTGTTCGGTACCGCTTTCAAGAACCAAGAACCCTGGGCACGTAGAGCAAACGATGAATTTCGGTACTGGTCTAGATGTAGGAGAGGGCATAAGAAATGGTTTCATGACCGGAAGTCACGGGATAACTGAGCCCCATATGGATAAAGGCCAAGGATGACGACCCTCGGCAAAAATATCATCTGTAGGTTGCAACTTACAAATCTTGATTTTTTTTCTTCATGTAAAACGTCGTACACTACTCATAATGTCTCCCTGATATAAGATCACGATATTTTGATAAAGGTTTAGACTTAAAACATAAAATTTATCTCTCTTAGGCAGGCAAAACGCGGGGTCCATTATGTAGGTAAGGAAAGATAGACGGAGCATCCGCGGGCTTTCCGCGGACGGAACAGGGAGCACACATCTGTGATCCGCTGACCCAAGATCACTATGGTTTCCCGTGTATAGGTTAGATTCGACGTCCTTTCCGCCAAACCCGTGATCACCCATAACATTGTCTCCAATAACAACAGGCTTAGCAGGTACTCTGGTTAGTGATGCCCAATTAAAACCGTAGGTATGGATTCTTGAACTCGATAACTCTATCTTTAATATAGATCGAGATTAGTAGATCGTATAGGTAACGCACCAAACAATTTTCCCCTCAGTAATTATAGCAAAGTCCAGAGACTGAGTATGATGAAACATCTGGGTATGGATTAGTTTTATTTATAATAAAACTGAAAAACTAGCTGTTAGTGCCGACATCTCTAGGCTTGGTTTCTTACCGTCTTTATGTTGGGTTTAAAGTCAACACAACGAACAACAATGTCATTTGCGTTGGCAAGATTCTTACTCTTATTTGATAATGGATATTCTTACCTGTCATTGGATGTAGGGAACTCGTAGGTTTCATAGAAAACCGCCAGGTTGCAGTTTACGGGAACCGGAACGCGTGGGATTTGGCTGTCGGCTACAAAAATAGCATTTTCAGCATCGTCGTGACTTGTAACAACTCGGCGGGGGTGAGGGAAAAGGACATATTAGCAACTGAATCAAATGATTGAGGGCGTTGAAGGAGTCATATTAATTGATATAGAGGTCTTGTTGTGCTTATACTTATTACTGTACATTTGTTAAAAACGATATGTAGCGTCTCTCCTGTCAGTGTGGATCGGTAAATGGCGTAGATTCGGAAAATACGGGAAATGCGGAATATGCGCTAGTCTAAGAGGCTGTTCCTATGAATGTTATTTCCGAAGAAATAACAAAGACAAGCGGACGTACCTTTCTATGACGAATAGGATTGCTGACGTTGCAGTGTTATGGACGTTGTTATTGATGGTGTTGAGCCGATGATAAGGGTACAAGAGGCCTCCATGTTCTGAACGCGTCCACAAGCTTGTACGATCATGCTATATGAGATCTTACGAGGATTATTTTAGCACAAGAGATTTCGCCACAAATAGAATGTTACACACAGATTTTATTACCAAGAGTCTACATGTAGTGAAATACTTGTGAGTTGCAATGGTCATCTGATGAAAACTGGTAGTTATCTATTTTGAGCTAACATTCTCCTTTTACTTGTATATAACTTCAGTAAAAGATTTAAGTCCACCCAATACCTTTCAGTGAAGGTTCCTTAACATATTATGCCAAAACCGAGTTACTGAACCTTCTAGTAAGTGAGAGAGCTATACAGCTGCTGAAAAAAAAAAGGGGGAAATTCCTAAATACCAAGAATTTAATAACTTGATACTATACCCAGTATCACAATATATTAAACTTCAGCCTTTTACCCGGCTGTATACGAGGTTGAATACGAACAATAGCTATACCCAGCCGTATATAAGGTTTAAATTCAAAGGCTATACCCGGCGATAACTCTTTCGTCGGTATAACTCCTTTTATAAACCTTAAGATACTGCTTTTTATCTATTTAAAGACCGCCATCTCTAGCCTGGTCCTGAATAAACCGTATAGCTTAAGTCCATTTATACTTGTAAAAATATCGATAATCTGCTCGCAAATCGCTGCTTTCGTCGCTTTACAGACAAGCCAAGTGCTTATCAAAGCCACACATCGCCACCTTCGTCGTCAGTCAAATCAGTCGACCACTCATCGCTACCGTCGCCGTCAGTCGGATCAATCGACTTCTTGTCAGAACTTCGCACATCGCTGCCTTCATCGACACACTTAAGCCCTCGCCAAGATCAAACATCCCACCGGGCCTGCGCTTGCCAACAAGTTGAACATCAGCTTCGTCTAGCCTGTTAAGAGCAGATTTGAAGACCTACTCTCGCCCGATCTGTCTACACTCTGTCAAAGAACACAACCTACAGCATAACAAAGAAGTCAAAGAAGAGGCCGCGGGTTCTGGCAATAGTTCCCATTATCCAGACTAGCCAGCTGGATAATATAGGAATTATAACTTAGCCTAAACCTGATACAAGCGATCGTAAGCTTATAGGGACTGCTAAGGCAGTTAGAATACTGGAGATTAAAGAGCCTTCAGAGCTAAGGAATAGGTAATTAATCTCTTTAAATTAGGAAGCGAGATACTCAGTAGAAATAACTCCTTTGAAGAGGAGTATTTCAAGACAGAGAACCCGCTGGATAATAAGTACAGCTATTAGCTGGCTTATCTGGTGGAAAAATGCAATTCGTTGCAAAGTAGCGATCATAACCGCCGGTGCCTCTACCTGCTTCGCTGGAAGGCGTGAAGACAGCTGCTGAGGTTGTCTGGGTTGACCGAACTTGTACAACTGGGGAGGGGAGGAGGAAGGAAGGAAGGGAGATAGATAGCTAGGCTAGTTAAATACAAGCCCGCTGTCTCTCTCAAACACACGAACGTACACACATACACCTGTCCTCGTAGCCCCCCCTTGAACCTTCTAGAGATGTAGGTAGTGTTAGAAGCGTGGAACGAGACGCTGAACACCAGATTGGCCATTTTGAATTGTCAGCTGTAGGGTAAGTCTCTGGCGTGACGCCAAAGACGGAGTAGGATCAGAAACAAAGAAAATTAAACCCGGAAATATGTGGACATGTGTGGACATTGTGGGTACAATATGAGGAGACTTCCGTCGTTTCACCCCAGTCATGTTATTTGGCTTTGTCATTGTTTGCAGCGAAATAGAACAGCCATGAGTCATGAGGCAAGAGTCAAACACGTGTGTGCCCTCGATGACGAAATGTATGTTCTTTGCTACTATCAACGCTATCTAGTGGTGTTTGGCTATATGAATGCACGGTAATATTTATTCAGACTTGAGAGTAAGCTCAATGACACTCTCGGGGGAAGCAGGGTGGGAGTAGATGTTGGCGATCTCAAAGCCAGCTTCGGTGACAATGGCGGCCCACTCCTCGGTAGAGCGCTCACGAGATTCGCCGAAGTGGCCCAGCATCATCATATCCATGGAGGTAGCAGGCCCAGAGGGCTTCTCCTCAGATAAGACAATCTCGTTGAGGAGGACGCGCGAGTAGCCTGGAGCCAGAGCCGTCTTGAGGTTCTGCAGGATTCGGACTCCATCCTTATCGCTCCAGTCGTGGAGAATGGAGTGTAGGAAGTAAGCTCGAGCGCCCTTAACGGGCTGAGGAGTGTAGAAATCATGGGCTTGGATCTCGAAGAGGTCGGTCTTCTCAACACTGGCAACGACATCGGGCTGGTCTTGGAGGGCAAGCTTTCCCGGAGCAGGCTTGATACCATTGGCGAAAGAAGTGAGGTCGTGGCCACGGCCACCACCAACATCGACTACAAAGTGCTCACTCACAGCCTTGTCAAATCCCTCGGTGAGTCTCTCGGCAACGGGGTAGAACTGCCACCAGTCTAGTTGGCCGGCACGGTACACAGACATGAAAGAAGCAAAGTAGTCGACGAATGGAGGAGTAGCACCAAGCCAGTGGAAGAATGGGAGATCAGTCTTGTGAGCAGACTGGAACGGCCCATCAGTGAGACCGGGAGGCTTGTACCCGGCAGACTTGAAATGCTCTGGGAAGCCCTTGAAGGAGGTGGCGGCAGCTCGCTGGCAAAATAAGATACTGTGCTGATAGTTCTCGGCGGCTAGGGCCTTGGAGAGCTCGGTTGGCTGCCACCCCTTGGACTTTGAGAACTTGACAACGCTATTGGCAACGAAATGCCTCATGATGCGCACGAGAACGGGAACAGTGATGCCTGTCTTCTCGGCGAGAGCGTCCGTGCTGATGCCTTCACAAGCATCACGAACATGCTGGAAGAGCTGGGTGTTGACAGCGATCTCCAGGCATCCGGACAAGGAGTGCTACCGAGAATTTAGTCATTTCTCTCGCAAGCCAAACAGGGAAAACTATTAGTCACCTACCGTGGCGAAGTAGACGCGCTGGAGAAATTCGGAAGGAGTCTCGAGCTCGGCAAGAAGCTCTCGGTTGAGGCTCAGGAGAGTCTCCCGAGAACCGGTCTCGTTATTTGTCAGAGCAGCGGTAGCTGCCTGCATGCGCTCAACAATATCAGAGGGGGCCATGGCGATAATTTCGTTTCAGTATCAATTTGACAAACGAAGGACGAGAAACGAACCCCAGCGAGATACGAATGTGGCGCCTTGGGTCTTTAACCATGTATTACTTACCTAAATAACCCAGTAATGCTTTTTATGTGGCATTCCTTTACTTTACCGAAGTGGAACGTTTGCCCATAATAGTAATTGAACTATAATGCGGTTCCCTCGGCTCCTGCACATTGACCCTGGTAGGTACATGCTGCCGATGCTGCAAGTCGTGATGTCCATCGAACCAATGCCTGTCCGAACGACAGCTCCAATGCCATGTCAGATCCATCACCGGCCGCGTGTATGGTCAATCCACTTCCTACACTAACTAGCCTTGTCAGAGTCCCCAATGGACCCAGTTCCATCTCCATTCTTGCCATCCATCGTCTGTCTTACACATAGACGGTTGTCTGTTAAGGCCTCCGCAATCAGCTCATTGTCTGACCCCAGTAAGGTTCAAATCGGTGCTAGTTGGTGGGTTGGTCGGGTGCCAGGGACAATGGTGACTGTTGGATTTGTTTAATCTATTATAGGTGGAGATGCGGTACCGAGAAGGGCCCCTAACTTCAGCCTCGCCTGCATCTGCTCCGCTGGCTGTCGTCTCCGGTGTCTTGGATATCCGAATCCCGCTGTTGTTACCTTGCAGAAGAATGGTTCGCAACCAAGAACGGACCTGAGCAATTACTGAACGTCCCGGTAAGCGGACATCCTAGGCTATGATGTGATTGTGTCGGTTGTGGTAACCTTGAACGTCTCACGCTAGGAGAAAATGGTGGACCGTTGACCAGGGGTTTGACCTGAAGTTGGACCATTCAACCTGGTCAAATTATCCTGGCCTGACCAGCCCGATCCACGAGTGAACGGCGGGTCAGTGAGACGGATCCAGTCTACTGGCACCAAGACATGTCCGTCTCGCGGCCCGTGGCCGTGTCGAAGATTTTGTTTTTGATAGCGTTGCCAAATATAATGTTGCACGATACGCAGGGCGAAAGTTCTCCTCTTCCTTGATGATACGATGACATCAACTCGACAGAATGAGGCTTCCACTAAATTTCTCTTCTTGACAGAATTTCCCATTTTGGGCTGGAAGATGGCAAGATGGGTCTTTTTTCTTTTCTTTTTTTCAAGCTCCATAACCCACCTGCAGCTACATGGATGCGAGAAGTTGCTCCTTCGTCGCAAATGTCTCCTGGGAAGAACCCGGGAGCCCGGTGGCGAGCAGATTACTGGATTATATCATAATACCTGTCCTATGATAGCTCGATAATCAAAGATACCTCGATTCATATGGTGGATTCATGCTCCTGTAGGTATCAAGAGATAGACAGGTTGCAATATCGTACGGTTTGCATAATAACTCAAGATCGTCAATGCTACTTCATTCTTCCCCATCTGAAGCAAGCCTTTTCTGGAGCCTTATTCATCCCGAGCCACTGTCTTCCGAGAATCCGTATGCACGAATGCATAAGGGGGTCCGTGACCAACAATCGAGCATCTGCCCCTTGTTATCAACATCCGAAATTTCCCAGATAGCCCCTTGTTACGATACTATTGTGGAATTCCCGGCCGAGTGGTATTTTCTTAAGGCAGAGATGACAGGCGAAGAAAAGGCCCCGCCTTTGTCAAATATGAACCGTTCGGACGCTCTTCCTGGCAGCATACTTCCCATTTTGTTCCCAAGTTATTGCCATGGACACTTCTGAGGCTGTGGTCGGCGGGTCCAAGCAGCTCGAGCTAAGTCTCGTCGCTTGGATTTTCACGAGCTTCGCTATTCTGACCGTCTTTGGTAAGATCTATACAACGACGTTTGTGCTTCGGCGGCCTGGCTGGGATGATTTGATGATTTTCTTGTCACTGGTAAGGATCTCCACATCTACAAGAAGAAAAAAACAAGAGCTCAAGTTATAATAGCTGGCCAGTATTGTCGCCTCAGGTCTTATTCAAGCATCTGTCGATCTGGGATTAGGAAAACACACGGCAGAGGTACAGTCTCAACCAGGGGGTCTAGCTGGAATGGTCATGACGAAGAAGCTGCAAGTCCTTGGGTACCGTGAGCCAAGACCCTTTCCTTTCCTTCGGAGCGTGGGAGCGAGAATGCTAACATGCAGAGGGTTCAGCATTCAACATCTTGGCCTATAGTCTTCCGAATGTCGCTATCTTGATCCTCATCGAACGACTAGTCGGACATACCGAAACCGTGTCCCGCAAATTTTTACGAGGAGTCGTCGTCGTCCAACTTATCCTTGCCTTCGTTTCGGTTATCATCATTTTCGTCCAGTGCCAGCCAACCGCATATTCGTGGGACCAGACGATCGAAGGGGGGAAATGTTGGGACCCCAATGTGTTCAACTACACCTCCTATGTTGTCAGCGCAGTCACCGCCTTTACCGACCTGGTGCTCGCGGTAGTTCCCATTTCAGCATTCTGGAAGCTCCAGATGAAGCTGCACCAAAAGATTGAGATGGCTGTCATGCTTGGGTTGACTCTCATTTCTGCAATCTTTACCGTCGTCAAGGCAACTTATTTGCCTCTGTTTAATGACCGAGTTGATCCACGTGGGTCAAATGTTCCCTTAATGGGTTGACCTTGACTGACGGTTAATAGTGTACAATGTTGTGATCTTGGTTGTTTGGGGCCTTATTGAGCAAAACGTCGTCATCATGGCGGCGAGCATTCCGACTCTTCGACCTTTGTTCCGCCACATCAGGAAGAAGGGACCTTTTACGACCCCTACAAGTTATATCCGAAGCGGGAACAATACGAAAGAACGAAGAACATCGGTATCGGAGCTACCACTGGAACAGATGAAGGTCAACGTGGCTCGGGGAAGTAGGCGGAGCTTTGAGATGCACAACTCTTCAGAGGAGCTCCACGAGGAGGAGCGACCACAGGCCGCGGCACGTTGGTAATGATATTGTACATTACTTTTGCCTCCTGACCAGGATGATATCAAATTTATAGACACGCACCAATTGCAACATATGACTGATGTGTACCTCTTCTTACTTCTCAACCCACGATGCCTTTTGATATTGGTAATAGAGCCTATATGGGTTTGAACTCAACGTGCCTTTCCACTGCGAGACCCTTTTCAATTTCTAGCGTCGGTTCAAGGGACACAGGTTGCGCCTCCCGGTATTCAAACACTTCATGTACTGGCTGTTTCAACCTTTTGATTGTCTGCACACTTGATGCTGTGTTCTTAGCACCGGTATATGAAGATAATTTAACCTCTTTACAACTCTCAACACTGATACAAACTGTCATAACACGGCTTTCTTGATCAGAATAGGTATTATATTTTTTCCCTCCCGATAAAAAAATGAACCCTGAACATCATATACAACAGTCATATCATTTCTAACTAAACAGGTTACCGCATCATGTATATGCTTGAGTGACGCTGGTGAACAAACTGCACCTTCACGAGTAATCCGAACCCCAACCCACCTCATATTTCTTCACCACCAGGCCGAAGCCAATCAAAAGTATCCAGTAGGTCAAAGTTAAAGTCCAGCTGCATAGGATATCCCCAATCCACTGACTCCAACATCTCTCCCCCGACTCTCTCATCAGGCGCATTTAAGTGCTCGTCTAGCACCCTCTGGATAATCAGTTTGGAATCAGCGCACAGGGTCCCATTCGGGGCCGAGGGCCGCATCCAGTCCAGAAAAGCAACGACAAGGCTTAGCTTCTGAATGATGCTTGAGCGAGTCAAACGTGCGTCTTTGGGATGTGAGCGCTTGAACGTTGGACGGAGGAGTTCCACGCACAAAACACCAGCGGCGGGGACCGCATATGAGATGAACTGAGAGAGAAGGAAGGTCAGAATGAATTTGGATTTCAGGAAAGAGTTACTCACCAACCAACCAGCATGCCTTTGACGTTGACCAGCCGACCGATCTCTCTGGTTCAAGCAGAGCGTCATGGCCAGCATGTCAAAGCTTGTTATTAGCAAGTCCCCTGAGTCCGGGTATCCGTGCCGAAGAAGAAGCCTTTGAATGAGAAACAGGCTCTGTACGTGCTCTAATCTGAGAAGTATTTTCCCGAAGCGTTGATCATTCATCGTATCTGGCTGCTCGAGATCCTGTGGTGAGTACTTAAACCACGCTGGCAGTTGATTGTCGAACGCCGAGTGTTTTGCTTCTAGTGACCTATGAGGCAAAGTATTAGTCCACGTATTGGTTAACGAGCAGCACGAAAGCTTACAACAACTGATCAATCGTCACAAGGTTGGGATCTCCAAGAGCAATCTCAATCAACTCGTCGCGGATGAAAGATCCTAGATAGCGAGCCCGGATGAGTGTCGATGAATAAAGCCGCCCCTTCGTGTTCCATCCATTGGCGTCTAGAGCCCGGACAGCCTGTTCAAGCACCATGGGATCTGCGGCCAGCTCCTCATCCGAAAGATCCAGGAGCAACGGCGTTTTGCAGAACCGGCGGCTGATCAGCGGCGGCCTCCCAGTGAAACAGACAAAAAGCTTGTCGCTGATGAATGTTTGCGCGAACAGGCGACGCTTATACTCTGAGCACAGCGAAGGTTTGTAATCTGCCGAGCCCTGCTGGGCGTGCAGGCCGAGATATGTCGCCATGGTCACGTTGAGGCCATGCAGGAGCGAAGAGCAATACGTGCCGTCGCCGTCGACGACGGTATGCAAGGCCGACTGTCTGCGACAGATATCAACAAGCACGTCGTTTCCATCGCAGAGATACCGAGATATCTCGATACAGTAGTCCACAGAAGTCCGACAAGTTTCATGGGATTCCTTACCGTCCTTCCAGGCTACTCGTCGAGTGAGCGGAGAGTCGACGGGATCGGACACGCGGTTCATGTGCAACCAGAGAATGCCGAGAGCTTCCCACCTGAGACTCGGACCGCAGAACTGATCTAGAAACTCACTGGAACTGCTAGTGACGTCTCGCCAAGGTTGCGCAGTGTTATGACAAAGAATTTCTGCGATAGAATTCAGCGTGACTACCTCGTCCTCGGCGGCGAAGGTTTCGAATAGCGAGTTGATGGACGCGATGATGCGGTCCACCGCGATATGCATAAACCCAGTTGACGCAAACGAGGGATCTTTGAACACCATCTGCTCGTTAGCCTGTCCTGGTAGGGTCTGCAGCACATAAATGGCCATTTCTCTCAAAGGAGCCGGCAGCTTCTCAAATGAGACGAACTGGCGCGTCAAGCGGTCCAGGCGACCATAAGTCGGCGTTGGCCCGCTGGCGAGCGAGAGCGTGCCAATTGTTTCGTTCAAGACGCTGTTGTAGCTGATTTCCCCCAGGTACCCAGTGCCTATCCTCGTTGGATTGTCTATCGACTGCTGTTGATAGTGCGAGATGGAGGACAGGGCTGAAACCGGCGTGTCTGGCTGTGATGGGTTCCGCGATGGGACGCCAAGAGGCCGAGGAGTAGACTGTGAATAGACGCACCGGGCGCTCTGCTCCCGTCTCTGGCATCTTAAGCACACTGGTCGCGTGTGATCACACGCGACTTTTCGAGATCTACATGGGTCACAAGCAGCCGGACGGCCATTCCGGCGACGGTGCGAGTTAGATGCCATGAGTCGCGGTGAAACGATTCTCCCTTTGTTGAGAGTACTGAAGTAGTAGGATTCGAAGGTTCGGTGATGACTCTTGCTTCGCGTCCGAGTTCGGTTCTGACAAGCGGCCGGGATCAGGATGGGACTGGTAATCGTGCTTTGACCAATAGAAACTTGATATTCAACTTCCTCAGCTAGTCAGCCTGTCTTACGGCGACTACGGGTTGAAATAGCGGATAATAAATACACGGAGAGGCCTATATCCGGACCCACGTTCACATCCTTCAGCGAGGTTGACATCTGTTGGCAGCATGAAAGTCCTGAACGCATCAATATCTCTAGGGCTGTTCCAGTACTAAAAGTCGAGCTGACGTAGACCTTCGGCATTAGTTCCCGCTGTGTCTAGCGCCGCTTTGCGAAGAAACCTAAGACGATGTTCCAGACAATGCCTAATGTAAAGCCGACCTGGCTTTCAGCAAACTCTTTGGGCCTGTCGCCTACGTCTGCCATCTTGCAAGCCAACTCAACAACTGCGGAGGGAAAGTGTTTCGATGAGCGAGCATAAGCAGCAACCAAATCATTCCCATTCGTGATGCCTCCTACGAACCATTAGAAAGAGGCATGGGGACAACTTCGAGTACAGAGGAATGGAAAAAGGAAACTGCGTACCGCTCGACCAAAAATTCCCATCCTGGACCCATCTGTATTTCTCGCCAACAAATGTTGCTGTCGGATACATCTTCTTTAGTGCATCTTGTAAGCCTCTTGGGCCGCACACTGTCCGGCCGCCCAGCAAGCCGGCAGCGCCACAGAGGTAAATTCCAGTACACACACTAATGACGTCGGTGTTTGGGCTCTTTGAGTGGCCGAGCAGAAAGTCTAAGATGGGCCTGTCCCATTTAGCTTCCGGATCGGGGCCTGGAACCAAGACAATATCGAGTTTCCCAGGCTGCACATCAGGGTGAGTGATGTCGTGTGTTGCTCGAACTGTCATGTTGGACGACAATGCAACCATCTGGTCGTTAGCCGCAGGCGCGGTAATATAAAATATGCTTACACTGGGCGCGATGTCTGCAATGTGCGAAGGCAGTAGAGTGAGGAGTGAAAGATACTCCTTGCTCATCATGTGCAAGACATCGACGCAGGCGAGATCGAGAAGCTGCGTGTCTCCGGGTATGAAAACCCCAAGTCCAATGCTCATTTTGCTAGACATTTTGCAACGCAATAAGTAATAACCACGATTAAAATTGTTAAAATGGATTATTGAGAGCTGGATGTGAAATGCAGAGTTGATTCAAAGTGCTCACAGAAGAGCGAGACGCTTTGGCTTAAGGAGGCTCAAAGTCTCCGGAAAATCGGGTCGACGGGGCATCTTCTCTCCTGTTGCCGAATCCCATCGGGTGTCCGGTCGAGATGTATCATACATTTCTCGGTGCATTCAAGACAATTCACAGACTAGTTTGCCATCTGCAACCACATTTCGCGTGAGGACTGTATCCAGAAGATAAAGGCCCCATCCGAGTCTGAGAAACGATTGAGGACATCAGCTGAAAGTGATTTTTTTATATATTGTACCAGGGGCTGCATCAAAGCGAACGATACTTGAACCATGCCTTTAGTTGTGTATACCTTGTGATAATAAGATACCAGCTTAAACATAACGAGGGAGAGGAACACGCCTGAAATACAAGCTGACCTAAGCATCGCCTGGAAGTCGGTAATTGAAAAAAATAGATAGAAAAAAGCAACTATGCGACTTTGGATCTATTCGTATTTCGGCTTTCAGCTCATCTCACAGCCACGCCTCACAACACTACAGTGTATGACTCACTCGGAATTTTCGCCTGTTTAAGAAAGGTGAGCCATGATGAGTCTTCTAGGCATTACCTCCTAGAAATGGGCAATAAACGAGAGATAGACCATCATGGCAACGGTAAATGGCCGAATTGCTTTATTCTTTCATGAGGAGCTGAGCCCACCGTCAACGAAATGGCTTCTCTTCTGGAAAGCCTGCCGAATGAAACTATTCTTCATATTTTCAGATACATCAATTCAAATGATATCGACGCGACGCAGGCACGGCTTCTCAAGTGTAGCAAGGCTCTTCGTCGGCGCTTTGAGCCGTGGCTGTACTCTTCACAAAAGTCTCGTGTCAGAATCGTACGCCTGGCATGTATCCATGGGTTCAACGAGACAATCAAGCTAGCTGTCGGTACTTACAACGCATCACCTAGCACTGTCACGATTTGGCAGAGAAATAGCAAACCAGGTAGGCCTCTTAAGATCCTCACACTCCACCTTGCGACCAAGAAGATGAAATCGGATACCTTTGAGCTCCTCTTAGCTCCTCTTGAAGCTTTGAGCTAAAATCGACGTTGGGGAGGTCAACCCGGTTGTGGCAGCTTCGAAAATCTCTCGTATCCTCAAGGCTTTGCAGATTGACCATGCGAAGATGCTGCACCCATTTTTCACATCAGGCACTGCTGGCCAAGTGCAGCACCTCTGCGTGGCAGACCATTGCCTCGTGCCGGCCATCGTCAACAAAGCGTCTGCCGAAACTACCCAGTTGCTCCTCGACAATGGAGCCAACCCTAACCGACTCGAAACTGGCGACGTTCGGATGAATGCACTCTCTGCAGCAGTCAAAGTCGGAGCGATGGACGTTTTTACGCTGGTAATAGACAGGGGCGCTCAAATGAATGTGAAAGGGACTTTATCTCAGGGAAAATCTATATTCGAGGTTCCCGTCCTTGCTGCTGCTCAAACCACGGCAGAATTGCAATCGGTAGAAATGCTACAGCTTTGTATTGATCATGGTGGTTCCCTCGGCGTCAACCTCCGCATTCAGCATCGACATTCAACGACATTCATGACCGTCCTGCTCGCCTATCTAGACGCCATAGCTGACTGGCAGGTCACCTTTAGACTTTCCCCGGTTCAGGCAGTCTCTTTTATTCTACATCATCTTGGCCATGAACAGAGCGGTTATAGGCGCACGGAAGGGGCGAAACTTGGACTGGATCGTCTTCCATTGGCCAAATCCTGGAGATTCTTATTCGGAAATGGGGAGTCAAGTATTTGGAAGTGGACGAATTTTTCCATGTAATCAAGCTCCTTGGGGTTGAGTCGAGCAAGTTCCACTGCGACATTCTCGATTCTTTGTTATGCATGAGTGTCTCAAACCTTCTTACCTCAAGTTGCGTCTTCGCGTTGGTTAGAGGTGTTGAGCATTCTTTTCCAGTGCCGGGATCACACTGAAATGGGAAAATTACTTTATCAGTTCATTTTATACTGTGAGGATTCCAAATATACAATTCACCGAGGAAATGTGGAAATTCTCGTCGACCACCTGGTCCAGTCAGGGGCTGATATGAATTTCCGTCCGCATGAAGATATATCTTCATGCCCAGTTCTTCACGCTGTTTGTGACAAGATAGACAGAAAAACCAGCCGGATGGAAGAGGGAAGACTTATATGCTTTGGATGGCAATACGAGATAAATTCAAGATCTTGGTTACTCGACATGATTGTTCGCAAGGGCGGAGATGCCACATTGCAGTTCAATGGACAAACCGCGCTTGACCGGCTCCGACGTACACGGCACCATCACGTCGAAACCAGGCTTTACATTTCAAATCTAACTGGCTATTTGAACTATCCTGGAGGAGTTATGGATGGCCTAGAGGACTCTGTCGAATTTTCCAGATTTTTCTCCGACGAATAATTCAACTAGGATTTTCTTCTACGCACAGATAGGGTTGCATTGTAATAATCAATATTGAAAGCTACCTCTTCTAAATGAGATAAAATGTATTTATTCATAACTGCTTTATAGAGTCATAAATCCAGGCGTGTCTCTTTTATCCCGTACCACTCTCTACATGTGGTGGTTATCATCATCTTCATGGGCAAAAGTCATGCTGTTGTTGAGTACAGTGCTTGAGAGGTTAATGATTGGGTAGCCAGAACCGGCTGACACTTTCCGGCTTTGACAACCATTAATCTTAGGACACCAAGGGTGTACCAAATATCGACAAGGCGTTCAAGATATAGATACATCCTACTAAACACAAAGTGCCGTGTGCTGATCTAAAAAGACTACTTTAAAAAAATTGATGCGTATTTGACTCACGGGAGGCAAGGAAATAGGCATGTTGAATTAAGGACACAAGTAAATGTGTCCTGGAGAATGTTCTTAATTAAGTTCCGGGCCATATCCTACACCATTCATATTACAACACCCATATAATTGCCAACTGGTGGTTCCTTATTCACTCTGCATTCTCTCAGTGGCAATCGCGAGGTTTGGTCAAGGATTCCCACCGTTGGGTTGAGCATAATTAATTCCCCGACTGATAAGACAAGTATTTGCTTCAAATTCCAATAAGGAGTTTGTTGAGCTGACCATATCTGTTCCTTCACACCGCATTGTTGTTTATCGTCTATGGCTGGGCAGTTCAAAACGCCGTCTGATGCTGGGATGCCGTCTTCTGGTAACTGCCTGCAGCACGGTCCCGTAATAGTCCGCGGGGATATCCAGACTGGCGCCATGTTCGAGTAGAAGCTCGACGACCTCAGTCTGGTCACGTACCGCCGCAATGCTCAACGCTGTGCCGCTCATGGGGGCAACTCGGTCAATGAGGGCGCCCCTATCAAGCAGCAATTTGACGAGGTCTTTATGACCTCGGGCTGCCGCCAAGTGCAGCGGAAGAAACCCTTCAGAATCGGGTGTGTGTATATCCACGCCGCCTAAGATTAATCGCCGAGCAATATGCACCTCGTCGGCCGAGAGGGCTTCCACCAAGGTATAGTGTTCGCTCTGGTGAGGTTGCACCGAGCCCTTCAACTTCTTGTCCCTCAATTTCTTGATAGCTGATGTAGCCCAGGATTTGACAGCCGTGCGTACACTATAGACTGAAATAGGTTCTGGCGTTGAACACGGTTGGTCCCCAATTTGAGCTAACAGTTTGTAATCTCGTATGTTCTGGACCAGGTCGTGGAAAAGGATTTCGATAGGAGACTGGTCCGCCACAGTGAACTCCACGAACTTAACCCCAAGCTCTGCACCAAGAGCGATTCCCTCCTCTGTCGAGACCGTTCTCGAATCTCCCATTTCAGGTATACTGCCCGCTAGTATCATGGGCATCGGTGGTATTCGGTGTTGATGCCAAAAACGCCGGCTTGGGTCGAGCTCTCTCCGCAGTCGCTCGATCGCGTCGTACTCTTCCCGCACTCTTTGGAACGTGCTTCGGCTCGTAACGCTATACACGAGTAGCACAGCATCAGCATCCCGGATGAACTCTTCAGATAACGGCTTGGAGCCGCCAGGGGGTGCAGAAAGGTTCTCCGACATGAATGCTTCCGCTTCCGTGTCGCCTTGTACTCTATTGCCCACATTTTCTCCGACACCAGGTATAGTTTCATCGGCCTTCCGTCTTGAAAAGTGGTGATTGCAATAAGTAGTTATTGCATCACCCTCGCCGACGCTGCCTAATGTCACGAGTAATAACCTCATTGGTCTTCTAGTTGCGGGAGACGACATTTTGAAGGCGTGTTCGATTTGCATCAATGGCCAAGCAGCTTACAGCTGAGATAAGGTGTATACAAAATATATGTGCTCAGTTCCATCATGAGACAACGAAGGGTTATCAGCCCAACAAATGTCAGGAAACTTGAGATAACCTCAGACAATATGACCTGTACGATGAAGTGCCCACCATTATGCACACGCCTCGCAGACTGGCTCTTTAAAGGGAATGTACAACACGCGGGGTTGCTCAATTTTGAACTTTGGTTTGCCATGATGACAGACACTGATGGTTGTGAAGACTGTTGGTGGCACCTAAAAATAGACCGCTAACAGGGGATAACTGGGCTTAGCGGACATGCTGCACAGACGTGATTGTCACAGTGGCCGTCCTGCGTGGCCTCGTATTATGGTACACGCCTTCATTGACAAAACGGCTTGGCTTAACAAACACGAGAGATCAGGCAACCGTTCGCCTAAGCAGGCAGACATTTACGTCCCGCCAACACAAGTTTTTTGTAAATAGAAACCAAATGCTGACTCAAGCCTGCCACTTCATAAAACAAGGACCATACTTCTGGCACATATGTGCCGTCGTCCACCTGACCAACTCTTTCTTCCGAACCAACTGCACTGGCCAGGCCATCCAAGCCACCGGCCACCTTTTGTGGCTTCGTGTAAAATGTGGCTGTGCCGAGGCTAGAGACCGGTGGCGCAACCTGGGGCTATTATTGCTTACCCTAGAGCACCTCTTCACCTAGTAGGTGACTACATATCGGGAATCATTGGGAGAGCCCAAGTCCGTAAGAGTTGCCTTCCGGGGATTCTTTAAATGTTGGCGAAATACGTCAGCCTGAAGTCATTATCACATGGCTAGTAAATCTTTGGATTGGGGATTGGTAGTTTTATAGATAGTTTTATATATACATTTATGTGTTTCATTCATCAGGGGAGCGCTCATGTAGACAAAGCCTAAGCTTTAGCCAGTCGTATCAAATGTTCCGCGACATGACCAGGTGAGCCCTATAATATTACGGATTTAAGCTCTCTCAGGGCGTTAAACTTTCCACTGAGTCAGATCCCTGTAGTCACGTCACGCCTGTGCCCCCAGAGACAATGACCTTACCCATGTTTCTAAACTTGACAGGGCCGTTGTCCGCCTTCCTCTATGTATCATTTAAGCGCTTCTTGTTCACATGCACGTTTCACTGGGGATTTGCAAATTCAGAAGGAAGCGGCTCAGTGCTAGAATTTAGGGTCCACTCGACACTACCATCTACAGCTTTGGTAAGGCGTAAGGCTAATACTGTCATTATCCAGGGCCTACAAAATCTAACCACAGGGTATTCCCTTCTTCGATTTTTATATTCGAATAGGAAGAGTCACTATATGTATCTAAAAGTTTTCCAGGCTATCATTTTCTTCATACATATACCTATATATTATCTTGCGGATGTAAGATCGTTCGAATCTCAATATAGTTAATAATCACGGTTATCCGCGTTGATTTAAACTGTGGCATTCCGAATGACTATTACTCCCTAGTTCTGGCCTCATGCTTTATCTCTATAACAGTGTCCACCATCACATTAAGAGAGTCGGAATATTTTGAATAGGCTTGATCAAATGTTGTATGAGACCGTATCTTCAACAAGGTCTGGAGAATACTTTCCACATCTTCAAGTCTATCATGGATTAGATCCACCCGAAGAATCTGAAAAGTCTTTCGGTCCCTGGTATCCGGAATTCTACTCGAAAATTGGTTCTCCAAATAGGCCAGGTAGTCCCTCTGGTAATCTGAAGAGCTTGGCAAGTGTGAAGAAATGAAATCGGGAAAGCAATCCGTTACCGGAACACGCACTAGTATATCGGTAAGGTGATCCATGTGAGTCAACATGAGCACTAGGCGGTTGTTCGCAAACCGGCGGTCCTCTGCAATGGAACCAAATAAGGTCAATTCTTCCGCCACGCGAACCACATCCTCATCCTCACACAGCACTTTTGAATAGGACGTCGCATCAGCCGTGAAAATAATCACCGAAGCATTTGGGAACGCATGGATCCATTTCCTCCGCTGTGATCTATTGCCGCCCACATCGCAGATCTGGAAGGATCGATAATTGTAGTACATAGATATTTCGTGAACGCCTGTGGTCCTGACAAATACCTGGAGGATATCCTGCGTGGTGGCACTATCAGCCAAGCTCGAGATTCGGTCTGCCAGCTGTTTGATGTTGGCGGGTTGCGTGCGGTACGACCAGTGAAATCCTTCCAGAAAAACCTTGTCTTTCCAAAGGGAGAAGATGGCGGCTTCCACGTTTCGTAACTCGCAGCGCTCGTTATTGCGTAGAGTCGCAATGTGAGGCTTGTTTATGTCTGGGTATTGTAGGAGAGTACCATCTTCTTTCATAAAATCCAACGCCATCAGAGTTTCATGAATCACATGTGCCCGTATAGTGTCTGCCCAGACGGCACGTTCCTCTTTGGTGGGTTCCTCATCAAGGAAATATTGGATGCGTTTGAGTAATGTGGTCTTCCCAGATTGTGAAGCCCCAAGTATCAATATTTTGTCGTCGGGCTTTTGTTCCACAAGATGGGTTTGTTTCTGAGGCATGGACTTACGCCGCGACCGCCATGGAGTAACCTCTAACCAGCTTCCAGGATGAAATCCTTGCCCGGGTCGCACTGCAGGAGAGACTTTCGAGCGTAAGGGCACGCGGCCATTGCTCCAATCACTATTCGTGGATTCGCCCGACTCTTCCTGGATGGGCCCTAATAGCATTTCGGATCCGTTCTCAAATGGTGCTTCCACGGGATAGACTGACCCATCTGGACGGCTAGCTTTGATTGCCTGTCTCAAATGTGATCTATGAGCGGTTTGATAAACCCTGGAGCCCAAAATGACAGCATCGAAGTCGAACTGAATGCTCAGAGCGTTTGTATTATCTGAATAAACGCTGGTCCTATGGTCACCGAGCCCTGCAATCGAGGATGTGCAGTCTCTGGCTGATGCCAGTATAGCTTGGCTGTCGTTTTGCCCAACCTTGGACTTTTGCTCAGCCCACGTATTGCTGAAAGCTCGTTAGTTCAAGATTGGTGAAGTTCGATAGTCTGGGCGAGACTTGCCATTGTATAGCCTGGAGAAAGAGATTCAGCGCGTTTACCTGTCGGTCGACCATGCTTAAATAGACATATATGTCCTTCTCATTCCACATGTATTGTAACTTGTTCTGCGTATGAAAGGAGTCACAATCCGAAACTGTTTCAAACTTGTCAAGGTATTTTCCAAGGGCCAAGATGAGAGGGCAAAAGCTGTCAAGCGAGGCCTCTATCTGCGAGGCCAGCTCAAGATACCGTGATTCATTAAGGAAGGCGGACGATTTCCACTGCGTTAATTGGCCAACTGCTGCCTGGATAATGTAAAGTTGGCCAACCAAGGTCGTGATCTGGAAAGGGGCATTATGATAGCGGCTCCTGAGGTCGCTGAGTTTTCGAATGCTCTTCGCGACGACATCGCCGATGGAAACGACCGAACCGATCAAGCCAACAATTGAAATGGGATCCATCACCACTGGTGACCAAGATCATAGGTCGCAGTGGAATTCAGACCAGGAATCCTCCTGGGAGTATGCTTGAGATGTGAAGAGTTTTACTCATTCGCAGCTGTCAGCCCAAGGTGGCTGAGCGGGGTATAGGACCAGGCAAGGCGTTTAATATATTCCTTTTTCTCAATTATTTCCCTGACGGCATTACACGGCTTAGATAAGCTCAGCATGCCATCACATGCAACATGGTAAGCGCGCCGTCTGTTTGTGTTGTTGTGGCGGTTTGTAATTCGCCAGTGCAACAGCAACAAAAAAAACTCGAGAATTATCTAGGAATTGCACATGCTCAAACTTGTTCCCTTCTTCAAATCTAATGTTCTTATAAGAATGATTTGCCCAACACGTATCTTACAAATTTCCCGATCATCAATTTCCTTCATCTGCTACCTACGTTGTGTCCTTTCCACCCATAATCTCATTTGACTCGAGACAATCTTATCCCAGCGTTCCAACACTATATGGCTTGCCATCCTGTATCAATTCTCTATGTATGGTTGACTTTTGGGTTCTCTGATTTCGCCAGTCTTCCCGGCCAGCTTGGAACGAAGGCCCAGAGAAAGACCATCCCAAAAGCGGCAATCCCAAGAGCCCATCCACCATGGAGGCCCTCGATATATGCGTTTCTCACCCCTTCAAGGTCTTGGCCCTGGTACGAATCCTTTATTCCTTCAGCGCCCGCGGCGAGAACGGCATGAGGATCAATACTAGGAACATAGGTGGGGAGTTTCTGCAAAAGGAGGTTGTTTAGAATAGCATCAGAAACCGCTACGCCCCAGCCACCTGCAAGGAGCATGAAGACTGTAAGAGCAAGAATATATTGTCAGTATGGGTCAGGCTGCTCTGTGAGTGATAATTTAGCGCAGGAACTAACAGGAAACAGTGGCCACTGCGATCGATACATCTTCAGCACGGCTTGATACGGTGGCTACAAGGTTTGGAGTTTGCACCCCGAGGCCTGTACCGACTCCGTATAAGATCTGGTATCCAATGATGGGACCCAGGCCTGTGCTGATATCGCAGGTGTAAATAAGGCCACCGGCGATCGTAGAGATGAGCCCCGAGGCAATCAAGAACGGCTGGTAGAATTGAAGCTTGCCGATTGCGATTGATGCGACAATGGTAGAAATGGCTGAATTGGGTGAGATATGATTAGCAAAAATGTTGAACACAGACCGTCATGTGGGCAAACTTACCCGTGGACAAAATAGATGGGATCATCTTGATACCGCTCTGTACAGGGCTATCCCCTTGAATGGCTTGAAAGTAGATGGGGAGATTATATTGCAGTGCAATGTTTGCTGCGTTCAGGCTATTTTTGATGTAAGTGAAACAGCCAAGAGTATGGATGAGGAGGGACGTACAAGAAAATCAAACCAGAACAACCGCCGATAGACCTCGTGCGTAGCAATCGATAGACAATAAGAGCTCGATCACCTTGGAACCACTCATTAATAGCGAAGAGAGCCAAGAGCACTACGCAACCGACTAGAAGTCCAATGACCTCGGAGGAGTTCCAAGGCTTTGCCACGCCGCCCCATTGCACGGCGAGGAAGAAACAGAGGACACCCGAGAACATGAGAACAAGCCCCAGGGGATCAAAGTTCTTGAGAATCTCCTTCGTGGATACCTTATGGCTCAGTTTAGCGCGTGATGGAGTCCTGAAGAAAACAGCCATGCAGCCCATGGTGATTCCACCGATGGGCAGATTGATATAAAAGCACCAGCGCCACGACACGCCAGAGGTAAAGGCACCACCAAGGAGAGGCCCCGCGACGCTGGCAACGGTGAAGACGGAGCCCATAAGCCCTACCACTGTTGGCTGCACGCTGGGCGGCACGACGAAAGCTGATATGGTATAGCCGCCGCCTGCTACGCCTGCGGCCCCGGCGCCTTGGATGGCGCGCCCTATGATGAGGGCTTTGCTCGACGGGGCGAGGGCACAGACTAGGCTGCCAACTTCAAAGATAGCAATGGCCAAGATGTAAATAACTCGCAAGGAGAAGTACTTGTAGGCTTTCCCCCATGCCGCAATGAATGTAGCCAATGTTAGGAAGAAGGCGCTGTGTGATATAAGCCGTGTTAGCGATGCTCAACAATCATTTAGATACATTGAACATTAAGATAGACAGGGACAAGGGTTTCAGGACCACAGGGTCATCCGGGCCATGGGTCTATCGAGCAAGTAGATGAGAGGGAGTTCAATGCATACCTTCCATACCAGCCAGCGTCGGCCATACTGTTGAATTCGGTCGTGATTTTGGGGATGGCAGTGCCCACGATACTCTTTACTTCGTATTAGATCGGTGGAAGTTATTGCGTTCGGAACTTTGGCTTACCATATCAAGAGCAATCTGCGGTTGGGAGATTGTTAGCAGTCAGCTAAGGGCATTATACTCCGTAGGTTTGAATCACTTACCAAAAAAGTGGCTAGCATCAAACTCAAGACTACGATACTGCGAACCAAGATAGAAGGGTAGACTATTTCCTCACCTCCCTCGGCTGGATCGTCTTTCTGGCTCGTCGTAGCATCGTCACTGCTTTGTTTCTCCCACTTCGCGGGATGGCTTGGTGCTGCGTCGTTGGTGGTTTCCATCTCTGGCAACAAAAGAGGAGAAGAAAAGCAGGATATTATATCGACTTAACTTAAAGAAGAAAAGGAGGATTTAGCAATGGTGCATGAGAAAGTCTTCAAAACGCCTCGAGAAAGAAACGACGAGTCTTTATACACCAGCCTCAGCAAAGGGGCCCGATTAGGAATGACTTGTCTCATTGGCCAGATGCCCCTGTATACCCGAAATTATTTCATCCCAATTGGGAAAAACTTCTCTCATTGGCCCAGCTGGAGACAATCATCGAAGTGTGGAGAAGAGTGGTGCTGGACACACTCTTTCAATCCCTTCATCCTTGTCAGGTTCTCGGTTATGGCGGCTCAGATTGGAGTCGAGGCAATCTGGGAATTCGGATTCATGTGGAATGTATTAAGACATAACTAGGATTCTTCTTTCCCCCAGGGAAATGGGGCCTATGAAGAGGCAAATTGTTAAGTCACTCCAAACGGATGAACACTTTGGACTAAATTCCCTTGGGCATTGCTCATACTGCGTCTGACGCTTTCGGATCGCTAGGTAGTACTCGCTGCAGCATCAGAGACGCCAGATTGTTGCCAAGCCATGAAAAGATCCCGTCACTAGTTGTCGTGCGTCTGGTGAGAAACTAACCGATGATACATTCGTTTGACCAAGCAACGTCCATTTCTTGGACAACACGTTTCCGTGCATGTTCGTCTCCCATATGACAACCCCAACGTCCGGCTGTTTGAGGACTGTTGCCAGGAATCTTCCATCAGGTGAAAACGCAGCCACGATCGATTCCTGATCGAATAGTTGCTGCATTTCCGCATAAGACCCGAGCTTGCTCTTGCGTAAGATAACAAATTTCCCATCCTGGCTCCTCGCTGCTAATAGGCTGCCGTCCGCCGAGAAATTGATCGCCTCCCATGGTAGCTTCTGGTGACGCACAAACGGATTGCTGCCAACACGCTGCCAAATCATGGAAGTGGTGTTGTCAATGTATTGTGTAAACTGTCCTCCATCCGGAGATACTACAATCCAGCCAACCCGGTTTTCAAGCTTGAACGACGCCAGGCGTTTCAATTCGTTTCTTTCGGATAAGTAAAACGCGCGTATATGAGACTCATGTTTGCTATGGAAGCGGTTTATTGTATGGCCGCCTAGTATGAGGGTTGTCGAATCCTGCGAAAGGGCCCATGCATCCAAGTAGAGGTCATCAATCCGCAATTGGTGCTTCTGTTCGGATTCGTAATATCCGTCTTTCTTGTGCCACACTTCAAGTGACCGATCGCCGCGAAGATTGCGTGTCAGTGCAACAATTCGCCGGTCAGTCACTGCCATACATTCTATGAGCTGCCATTCGGGATTTCTTAGGCTATCCATTTCGTTGAACTGCCCATCTTCTCCCACAGTATAGATGTGAATCGCGTGTTCCATACAGATGGCGAGAGCTTCCCCGTCAGGGCTGTAGGCGGTGGAGACTATCGTACCGTCCTGTCTATCGCCTACCTTCAGAACTTGGGCACGCGAGAGCCTCGGAATCTCGGAGGTCTTCTGTGCAGTCGTGGCACAAGAAGAGGAGCCGGCTTCCTTCTGCTGAAGCTTAAAACCGTCATCAGGGGGAGTCTTTTCATCATTCGGTGGCTCTGATCGGACATTGATCCAACTAGTGGCTGATATGTTGGCACTTTTGCCTATACTTGTAGTGCTAGATCTGGACGTTCCCGAAGCTTTGATAACCGACTCCGTTTTCTCATCGACGCCGATTGACATAGTTGGCCACTCTGCCGAGGCCTCGACAGTCGAATCTTCGACTCCCAGATTGACCTCTTCCATCGGAGTCACCAGTTCCTCATGTAAATCTGCTGAGATAGAGGAAGCTAGCTTGAGCCACGGGTGCGTCAAAGCTTTGGTCGCGCTTGGTCGTTGTTTTGGTGAGGCGTTCATCGCGCTGCTAACAAATGCATTGCATTCTGCACTGAGAGATTCTTCAAAGGGAAACGCGGAACCTTGGACAACATAGGAAAACAAGTCTCGCGAATCACCGAATAGCATCCGCCCAGTGGTCATTCTGAAGGCAATGGCGCCAACTCCCCAGATGTCCACCGCAAGGGGGAAGAGCCGTTCGCTGTAGTCCGCTATGTCAGCTGTCGTGAAGAGTCCACGGACCTCGGGCGCCTGATATGTCTCGGTCCCTACGCCTGTGCGCAGGACAGTTGTCTCGATCTGTTTAGTCGTCCCAAAGTCGGAAATCTTCACCCACCAATTTGGGCCAGCGTGTTGAACGAGAATATTCTGTCTTACTTGGTTAGCCCCTTGGCTGTTCCAAAACCATTCCTCCAAGATCTCTCCGCGAACCGAACTGACATTTGGTTTCAAATCCCGATGAGCAAACTTATTCCTGTGCATAAATTCAATTCCCTCCAGGACCTGGAGAATTACCAAACTAGCCTCGGCCTCTGGAAGACGATTTTCTAAATATCTCGACAAATCGCCACGAGGGAGGTACTCCATGGCGATATAGAGATAATCCTGACTGTCGTACCACCCAAATGACTGAACAAAGCAATGTCGGTACTAAGAAAGGGTAAGCAAATATACGGACTGAGGGGGGGGGAGGTGTAAGCACCAATTCGTGAGAGAATTTCATGATGGCTGAGAGTTCCCCTGACAGAGCCTTAGTAGAGACGGACATGGGACCAAAGTTCTTATAGATTTGCTTTACGGCTCGAACTTGGCCAGCGCTGGGACCTGAAGTGCATCGCTCAAACCAGACGGTGCCAAATGTGCCGCGGCCGAGGGCTTTGGCGTCGTCTCGCTCCCATTTCTCCTCAATTGCCCTCCGCCGTATGCCTCTGGCGGGATCCGAAATATACTTGGTGTGAACAGTATACCCCGGTTGGATTGTGTATTGTAGCTCCCAGTCGCGGGCTAGATCTGATATCGAATCCTCCATTTGGCCAGGTTGCTTCCGTTGTGCTATGTACGCTGAATAAAGTTACTCGACTGGCAATATGCTTATGATCGCGCAGAGGCTTAGATTATGGGCTCCTATGTGCGGTGTCAGGTGGCTATGCTCAATCCATGCACATCACGTGGAGGCGCCCAATTGGCGGAGAGCAAAGCCCCCTTTGAGGGATGTAAAGACGTCTTCATTGTACCTCATTTTCCATTTGCGTAAGCGGCAGCGCTCACACACTTTTGTTGGGATCTTGTCTCTTCGATCCATCCAAGAGTCAGTTAGAAGAAGGGAACAGCAAATGAACTTATTGGGTCGACTCCTGGGTCTCGAACGAGAAAAAATGTGAAATTCCGCCTCTAAGTTAAGTGGCCAATATACATACATGGTTGAAGGGTTGTTATTACCAGAATTTCTTTCGACTTAGTATTGAAGGTGATATCCGTGTACGGAATGCAAATAAAGAAAGAACATGGCCGACGGCTATGGCTGGGATATTAAAGGCGTCACGTACTAGCCCAGTCTCCCATCTTAACGGGTCGTTGAAGACACCATCCCAGGACAATTAATGGGTGAGCGAACCCCCAGGAGATGTTCAACTTCGATTGATTTCACACTTTCAATACTTGAAAACTCAGTACACGCATTGTCACGAAATGGACTGGTTCCATGCTTCCTCACTTGTCATGAAGATAATCTCATGCCCAACACCAATAGACGCCCCAGAGTTCTTAACCACTATGGTAGGTCATTCTTCGGAAATGAAAGGAGTTTTTTGAACAGGTGTTCTTATATTAGGACTGCTAGCTCCCATAGATGTCTAGAAGGCTCAGTATGCATGTGGTGAATCCACGGGAAACGGCACAGGATGCTCTGCATGTGCGTCCAGCTCTCAATAGCTAACAACTGAGTAGTTTCCTTTATGCGCTGTAGTAGCCATGGGCGGTCTGATTCTTCCAAGACTGATATTCCACCCATGAAGAGTAGCCATAATAGAGGCCTCTTGTCCGGCTCATGTTCCCCTCGATTGACAATGTCCCGTAAACGCCGAGCAACGAGGTAATACTTCAGAAATCTCTTGCCTCCAGTTTGCAGGAATAGGGTGGTGAGAAAAGCGATCAGGCCAATATGGTATACCGAGTTCGAATAACCTTCCATGGGAGGACTACCCAACGAGTCAAATTGAACCAAACGGTAGCCGACTGATACAATGATCTCTTGCAGATCATCCGGGTCAGCAGCACAGGTGTCATCGTTATTGAACCAAAACGCAAGACAATTTACATCATGAATCATTTCCTTTAGATCTGGGCTTGCCTCTGCCAAGCATGGGGTAGAGAAGGCAGAGCTTCCGCCTACAAGGCTACATGTAGGCATGCCTAACTTGTTGGCAGCCTGGGGCATGCGATCCCGAAATGAAACAACTGAGGTCCCGTAGTGAAGTGCAAAATCAATGTCGGTTCTAATTAGCCTTAATAACAAGCTCGAAGCATTTGAAGATCTGTAGCGGGACTTACTTGGCTATTTTCAAAGCTAGAGTGCGGTCCTCCACCATACAGAGACCACCGCGCAGTTCCAGCATCTTCTGCAGACCTCTTAGATGTATCTTTGCGCTGGCTTCGTCTTCTTTAAATATATCTCGTATGACGAGGAAATTGACCACTGCCAGGCTCGAATTCGATAGAGCGTCTGGCGTATCAAGCTTCTCATTCACGAGGGCCACCGCTTGACCCAGGTGGTATGTGGCTTCCCATGACACGGGCTCCCTGCCAAAAACAAAAGAGTTTAATATAGACATTAAAGCAAGGGAGCAGTGGTAGGCTAGAGGATAGTGGTTAGTGTTTGCTTGTTTTGAATAATCCGATAGGGAGACTGACAAGTCTGATCTAAAAACATCATGCGAATCCAGTATGACTTGATGCGTTCCAGTGAGAGGCAGAGCTTCGAGGGATACACAGCCATTAGAACCGATGTGAAGTCTGCATTGACTGGTAAGCTTTCTCTATCCTTTAAAAAGCAATCGGGCAATACACTGACATGTCTTGACTACCTCGAGACTCCAAGGCGCGAATTCCATTGACAGAAGCGGAGGCAGCGTCCGGGAAAGGAGGAGCGGATCTGATTTATCAGGGAAGCGATGCGATGACGACGAGTTGCCTCGTCTACCGTCATGTCCTTGCAAAGTTGACAGGACAGGCTTGCCTTGAGCCGGTTTCAAACCACGGTGATGCGTCTTCCCAACGTTCTTCTCCCTCATTGCATGGCTGCGGGCAGCCCTCTTCGTAGACCTATCCGACTTAGTGCCGTCAATGAATACAAAACCTTTGCCCATATTACCCGTTGGCTTTCAACGTCGATGTTTAATTGTCGTTGTCAAAATAGATTGGCTGGGCGTAAATTATCCAATGTGGAGCTAGGCTCGGAGAGTCGGAGTTAAGCCTGCCAAATTCCATTCAGAACGGCCTTTCAATAGAGATCTCACCAGGTCTAGCCAATCAGAGTCGACATCTCCATAACAGGCGACGATTTCAGCCAGCTGGCGGGCTCTTTCTCAGCCTTTTCCTCCAACCTTCGAAAGTAAATGATTCCGGGAACAGAAGAAGCAGGGCTCACACCGCCGTCAGTATTCACATCCACAAGAAATTTTGGGCAGGATCATAGTGCTGGATCCATTGGCTAATATAGCGAATTCATTCAACCTGTAGGCCTTCTGAGATAAGCTTGGTGAGACAGTTAACTTGCTGAAGTGTCCATCTCATGATTCTCGACTTATCAATCCAGGGGGTAGCACCCACTCTCAGTTACAGGTTATGAACGTGTCACTTCGTAGCGCTGATGTCCTTAAGTCGCTCTAGCATCCTTAAAAGTCCAGAACGTCCTTATGATTTCTTCCCTCAATGATCTGGTACGAAATTCTGGAGACATCTTATTAGCCCTGAATAATTCCAAAGTCGGTATATAGGTCAATTAATCTCCTAGAAATCATCCGTTCGGTGCGAATAAGTATATAACCCCCATCAGCCTCGACCATAGGACCAAGCCAGTACTCATCCAAACTTGGTGCTGAGAAAGCCTTGGGGTAAACATGTCCTCCTATTTGTCCTAGTGAAAGCATTCCACGATGATATAAGCAAGTACCGATGACCATTCTTGATGATGGAAAAAGGGTTCCATGTGGTTAATGCCCAGTACTTGGCATAGCCATAGCATTAACAGCTTGCTCTAGGAAGCCTATGCCTCAAGATCCCAATAAAAGCCTCCCAAGACTGGGCAGGCCAAGCCCAATCCACCCCTTATCACAAGTGTTGACAGTTTCTTCGTATCGTCTCTAGCATAGCGGTGGGACGACTCTTTTTTACTTGAATTTGAGAGGGTGCCTGCGCTTGTTCCCATCTCCTGACCTCTTCTGTGGCCCTGGATCTAACTACACCTGCTTATGATCCCTTTGCCCGTTTTGCTAATAGGGAAATGGTATCAAGACGTGGTGTATTTCTTAAGAAATGGTACTGTGGATGATGGTTCAGACCCTCATTCATAGTAGCGATAAAGCCAGGGGCCAAGGTGACTTGTACACAGTTGCACCTAGTCAGCAACAACGGCAACAACCACAACCAAGAGCTCAATGGCGGCGGCTGTTTCGGCAGCTTGAAGTGGAAAGGCTGGTGTCGGGGGTGAGTTGGCCCATCACCAAGGTACCAGATGATAACGGCAGGATTAGATGGCATCTGATGGAGAGAATGCCGACACCGCCTCCGACTTACTGTTGATGCCGATACTGGTGCTGGTCTTTTCGTCGATGTTGTTTGGGACGATCTTGTCTCAAGGTCCGCCAGTATCGCTGCCTCTCCCTGTCGTTACTCGCCGAAGCGAGGTCATCAATTGAGACCGCCACCAGCTCTATCGTCGTCGCCGTCGTATGCTGTCGTCGTTCTCGTTGTCGTCGTTGTCACTATGGTTGTTTGCCGTCCTTGTTTTCACTTTCTCTCCATATCATTAAAGTGCTAGCTTTGGAAAATCGCTGCGCGTTTCATCCCCCACCCTAGAACACAAAAACGGCGGTATTCCTCCCTGTTTTTCGTTCCCAGTGCAAGCGCGTGATCGTAAAGCCCAGGTCGTACGTTAGGTTACTGGTCCATTGTTGAGACGTGTTACCGTACTTGGCTGACTTGCAAGAGAGACTCGTCAGGCAGGTGTCCATGATCCGACCTAAGTATTCATATATGCCTGTACTTCCCATATTTATAGCCGAAGTTCACACCTTGTCCTTGTACTCGCGTAGGAGAACTTTCATCTCGGCCTTAGTGATCAAGTCGACTCTAACTTGTATTTATCATTGTGGTTGTTGTTGTGGTTATTGTTATTGTTGCTATTGTGGTTGCTGTCGTTGCTAATATTCGAGTACCAAACTTCCAACTAAGAAGTAAGGTGCCGTACTTTGGTGAGCCAACGCCTGAAGGAGACTCTTTCCGATTATCTTTTGCTTAGGTATTCTTCCAGATCCATCACAAACGTGGAGAAAGAGCAAGCTCCAACAGTACCATAATGGTAATACTAGTAAGTGCAGCCCC